AATTATGTTTTATCAAACAACAAGGGAGATTCTAGAGAGTATAAATTTAACAGGTCTTTTAATTGGACGTACTTTTAAGAAGGAAGTGAAAAGGAACAGCATCTCAACTCACATTTTCAAAATCAAGATGACTTGTCACAAACTCCTCTTGTATTAAACCAGGACATTAAGGAAATAAGTTGTTCTGTCAGCCACAAATACCCTAAAATAGATGCTTCTTTTAGGAGAAGTATTGATTTTCAGTGGTTAATGTATCACATTGTAATCCATGCAATGCAATACACTTCCTTTTGGGAAGAACTGTAAGACTTTAAACTAGGATTAAGGGCTCATTATTCTTTGGGTTATTTAAAACAGTACAGTACCAGCCAAACTGTGGTATACGCAATTAGCCTACAAATGTTCAGTTACAATCAGCTTTCTGTTTTGCTCTTTGCATTGAAATTAGCTCCACAATGGAATTTGCCTTTATAGACCGGCTACTAAATTAGCTTATTAGCTTACTTGAGTTCATTTGCGTTAAAGTCTGAAATGGATAGCTTCCAGCATTTTTCTTAAGTGTAATTATCAAGTGTACACCACTCAAAATCTAAAACAAAAAAGCTGGGTCAAACAATCTACTTACAGCTTAATGAAAGTTAACGATTCATTGATCAAACTCATTTCTGTCTAATTAAACCTTTCTTGCATCGTAGAGAAACATTTTAAAATTATTTTTAGCATTTAAATCTAATGGTGACTCTTGTTCATCTATTTTTTGTGTAATGCCATAGCTTTGAATTGTGTGATTTCTTCATTTTTAGATTCCCACATGTTCTAATGAGACATTTATGACAATTATTAATACAGTTGGGTGGTTTATTTTAATGCAGATACTTTTTTAGTATATCATGTCTTTCTTTGCTTTAAAAAAAATATTTTGATCACTGTAACCTTGTTCTGTCTTGGTTTTGTTTAAATATGATTTGAGATGCCATTAGAGTTACAATCTTCACTATAATGGCTCCGGTATCAGTGTACACTGCACCAATCGGGGATGAATCATTTCCATTTCTGTTGGAATTAATTTAAGTATTTCCAGTATCATTTTTAGTAGATCCAGAATGACCCATCATCTGGTGAGATGCAAAGAGATGGCAGCCAAACAGCAGCTGAATGCTACATACTGACCTTCTGGTATGGTCAGTATCCTAGTAGAAAATGTGTTTTCAAATTTATTTTAACATAGCATTTGGATGTGATGTGTGAAACCATTCAGAGGGAATTTATACATTAGCAATTTAATTTAGGATTACTGACTGCAAATGTGCCTCAGAAGCAAAACGAAAAGTGCAGATAATTAAATGTTTTTTTTTTTAAATCAGCAGTGATCACATGAGCTTCAGCTAAAAAGGTCTTAATAAGTATTCACGTTCCCTTTTCAATTTGATTAATTTTACTTCATATAGTCCCACTGAGTCCTCTGGGAGTGTTCAGTAACAGCGTGCTTTTGGGAATATATGATTGTGCCATGTAGCTTGCAAAACACCCAGTGGTGATCAGAGATGTAGAAGGTGTCCAAATCACTATCAGATTGCCGAATAAGACTGAAAGAAACTATATCTCCAAGGAACCTCAACAATCAACAATGTGAATGGAAAGTCACATAAAGTGTTTAAATGCAAAAGAAAACTATATTTGTCTTTCATATACAGTAGTTATAAATAAGAAACATAAATCTTACTATATAAGTATATAATAGTTAATGTTCAGGGCAGGATCTCAAAATAAAATCAGATTGAGGGGGACAGATGATCTAGCTATGGGTGACTGGAGCCCTACAATACCAGTGATATTCTAATATTAAATAAGGCAGCAATGCTTTTGGTACACATTATATGCAGCAGGACAATATATGTCCAGGTTAGGAATTTTTAAAGTAAATACACATTTATTTCAAAATCTCCAGACTTGCCTGTTTAAACTGTAAATATTTTGAAAATAAAAAATAATATGCTATAATATGCTAAGGTGATATTCGCATCTCTAGTTTCACAACTTAAGGAAGATCACACGACAAAGCAGTCAGTACAGTGCATTTCTATAGTTGTGCAGACCTGGCAATTCGATTTTCTGTTTTTCTTCTGTTTCCTCCTGTTATGCCACTTTGTACTTACACTATACACTATGTGTATGTCTCTGTGTAGGAACATCTAAGCAGACAGCACAATCACTTTGATTTAGACACGAACAGAAACTAGTCTATCATTCTTCAGATTCTGCAGACTTGAGTAATAAGGACAATCAGTAACATATGTTGAAAGTGCACAAAATCTGTGCTCTAACGTAAATAAAAATTGAGCTTTATCTCTTGTGTTTGGACAGGCGATAATATTAAAAAGCTCCAACAGAGCAGAAAATGACACTGATTGCCACAAAATTTATCAACTGCCCTACAGTATGTACATTGGAAGGCGAGTTGCAGACTCAAATTAGGCTGTCAGTTTTTCTTCTGTACTGTGACACTGGACTGTCAGACAATACAATTAATTCCAAGAACAGAGAGATGGCATGACAAAGCCTTCTGAACACTTTCTCCATTAAGCAAATACTTGATACTGTATATGATATACCGTCCCTTAGGGTGGAATTGCTTTGACTTGACAGTCAAAACGACTACATGAGACAAAACGGTTTCTCTTTCTTCCATGCATAATTTGAAATTCACGTTGTTTTTATTTTGAATTATTCCACCACACACATGCCACCACACCCTTCATTTCTTAATCGACTCAATTACACTGCTGCAACCCTTGTAACAGCAAACGAGGGCTAAGGAACACGCATGCTGTCCTTTGAAGATGACATTGTCAGCCATCTATCATTTTTCACATTGCAAATCCTAAAGCCCAGGTCTGAGTATCGATTTGAGGATCAGTACAGCTCTTGGGACCAATAAAGTTCTTAAGTGTCACTGTGGCAAAGCAAGTCAAGGATTGCCAACCAACCCATAAGGCATTTGGTCAATTTTCACCGCTGAGACTGAGCATAGGCATGAACTGTAATATTTATATACTGTACCAACCATGATTTGTTTTCCATTACAAAAATGGCAATGATTAAATCTATTTCTTTTCTCTAGCACTGGCTTTTTGGTAAATTTATATCAACACCTACTGAGTACTTTCACTGAATATATTTATCAAATATTTTTGAGAGGTTTTTTATATTCAAAATCTGGCCCTTACATTTGTGTTTCAGGTTTATAAGTGGAAATTGTTCTGTGCTAAATTTCCATGGATACAGGTTTTCAGCTGAATAGATTAATAAGAGTTATATTAATGCTCATGTACATAAAAACAACAGTTCCAAAAGAGAGAACATAATTGGACTCATTTTGTTTGATTTCAAATGGATAATTGATCCAGGAATTGCATCCAAATATTCAATCATTTTCACACATTCAATGGAAGCCTCTCAACTCGATCTTCAATCATCCACACATGAAAATGTATTTAAAACATATTTGTATAAATCAGTGTATTTACAAATAGTTCTTATCATTATCATGCTTAAATGGACACAAAGCTCTTGGCCCGAAGTACAAAACCAGGACCTTTCTTTGATAAAACAATATGGCGGGATATTTAATTGGTTTTATCAAGACATCACACAAATTAATTGTAAACTATTAGAAATGGATGGAAGGAAAACAGGTCTTTTTGGTTTCTGGGGCTGGAGTGGCTTTCGCAACCACTAATTTAGGGCACACCGTACATAGAAAAGCTGTCAGGCTGAAACAATTTCATAGAGAAAGGCAGACCTCTAGTGGAAAGAGAAGATACTTACATTTTACTTTGTGAGCCCATTAAGGAGCTTCAGAATTTGTTTTGAAATTGTTTGGTCATTTAGTATGATAAATTATATGAAATCCAAATGTTCTAATGACAGGAGCTCAAAGTTTTAATTAGCCTATCCTGTTCAAAATAAATAATTTTGATTTAATCTTCTTCAGTGATCATACCTTTTTTTAAAAAAAAATATTAACCATTTTTGTGGAGATACAGTACGTCGAGGTGCATAACATTTTCGTTACACTATGTAGTTTAATTTCACATGCACAAATTGTTTCTATTTTTCTCCTTTCCTCCCTCCTTGTTTCAGTTAGAAGACCACATGAAAATAAGTGTTTATAAAGCTCTTTCTGGAAACAGCAGCCCAGTGCATTCAAGCTAAAACAACTACAGATTTTTATTCTTAAACGGAAAAGATTGCGAGAGGACCTGTCTTAAGCATTCAGATTCCTTAAAGGTGCTCGCAAAAGAAACCTTTTGTCTTACTACGGCCTTCTTCAGATGCAGAGGTGAAACATCAATGGAAAGACACAAACAGGAACTGCATTTAAAACTGGGAACAAGAAGCTCCTCCTTACAGAGAGGGTTATGGAAATGTGGAACAAACTTCCTAGTCATATTGTCAAATGCAATACAGTACCATTGCTCTTTCAAGAAAAAAAGCTGGATGAGGCCTATAGAATACTGAACCAAATGGCCTCATTCCATATGAAAACTTTCTTATGTTCTTAAGCTTTTATTTTGTGTTAATCGTGTATGATCCCATCGTTGACAATATCCCTTCCCCCTAAGAAACCCTTGTGAAGCTTGAAAGTCTGACTAGTGTAAGTTAGTGAGTTGTGGGGCAATATTCTGCCACTCCCCATTATAGGAGAAAGCAGAAAAGAGGCTGTGGAGAAAAGTGGCAAATAAAAATGCAAATTATATGTTTATTAGATGTAACATTAACAAACCATGTCTTGGTAAATTATTTGCTGTGTTTAAAAAATAAAGTATGTTGCTCTGTGCTCTAAGGCTTCTGACAACTGATAATTTCACAGGGAACTGATCAGACAGGAGGCACGATCACAGTATGGTGTACCACTTGTCCCCAAGCATTATTATAGCTAACATGTTGAGTCCCAACCACTGAATCAGCCAAAAATAAAAATAAAAAGACAAAAAATATTGCAGCACACTACTTTATTGAGAATTGAGTCCATCATTTTCTTTCAAGGCAGTCTTGATCTTGTTCCAAAGATCCCTAGAATTACATAAAAGATTAAGTGGTCCTAAAAGTACAAAATATACTGTATATATATTTGTACAGTATATTTAATTATTTTTGTGACACATACTTTTGCACTTCATCAGGAACCTTCATCCTGCCAAGTACTTTAGATGTGCCATTTTCCAGATCCTTTCAAATGAATGAAAAATAAAACCCATTGAGTTACTTTTTTTCTGAGGGTTAGAAAAAAGCTCTTGTCACTTAGCATTTTCTTTTCCATTTCATTTTAAACTTGCTTTAACTAAAATATGAATAAATATTATTGGTTAGTATAAAAGTAATGTATCTCACATGTCTGTATGAAAACAACAGTGCCAACAGAGAAAATACAATATGACAATTTGCCACATAGTAGAATTCAGTTAAGTGTTGTTCAATTATTCTCAGCAAGACTGTTAACAAGAGTTTCAGCAGGCCTTGAGTGAAATTGTACATACAGTATGCTGTATGTAAAACTTAATAGTATAAACTGTTAAAATGTCAAAAAACATAAAAACAGTAATATAGATGTAGGTTAAATACAACAAAAACAGTGTGGCATAAAACAAGTGTTTTATGTATAGAAAATAATTCGAAACAGTTTAGTTGCAGGTCTATATTTAGTTAAATAAAAATAATGCATAGCAGCATCTAGCATTACAGACTTACTTTTGTTGCTTGTTGTAGATGTTCATTGGAGGTTAACAATTTCATTACTTCAGCCTGCAGATAAAAAATCATGTCATTAAACTGGATATTTGTGTGTCTGTGCCCCTGACATAAATCAGAAGTGAGATGTATGTGGTGCACACATTTTTTAAAAAAATGTATAAGGTCTTGTGATTCGGTTTAGTGAGGAAATAAGAAAGTAATACATGTTTTTTTCTAAACAGACAAATCATATATATATATATGTGGTCACACTTAAGAGTAACAGAATGCCACACCATCCCAGTACTGTATGTTTATCTTAATTTGATCAGCAGCGGAGTCTGAAATTGGAAATACTGAAGTTCCCTATAATCACTATAATGGAAAATATATAGCTTTGCAACTTAGCAACTGAGAGTATATCGGAAGAGTGCAGCTGCTCTAACTACACACATTCTGATGAGCAAGACATATTCTGTTCAATTATGTGGGAGAAGATGTGTCTTAGGGTACAGCTATGTACTATATTTCAGCCATCTGTTTGCTCCTCTCTGCCTACAGGATGCAGGTTTGCTCTGCTCTTCTGAAATGCACTCGCTTGCAATACATGTCTTCAGTTTCTTGTACAAATTCTGGCACATGACATTTTTGTTGTGCCAGATTATTTTGTGGATAGCCAGCCTCTGTGCAGAAGTGCTAATTGTAAAACAGTGGTTGACACTCTTCACTCACCTACTGTAGAAATATCTTTACCTTTGAGTCTCTGATACATCTTTCAGTTGTGCCAGTAGTGATGGTTGAAACCATTTTTTCTTTGATTTCTCTCTCCAGCTCCCGAACCTCTTCCCAAGCTGCCCACACCTGGTACCTCATGTGCTGAATATGGTCCAGTGTGCAAAGAGTGATCTCTTTGTGTTTCATTGTCTGCACATTATCCTTGTGGATTTCTGAAAAAAAAGTCCAGAAGTCGCGAATACAATGTCATGGTTCCACTTGTCATCTGAAATAAATTTACAAACTTTAAGGAAACATCCAAAAGTGAAACTCAAAGATATCACAAAAATGACTATACCTAAAATGAAATGAACAAAAGGAAAGAGCACAGGTAAAGAAGGCCTTTGCCCAATCTTCATTTAACCAAATTTCCATTTGGCTGTTAGCAGCTACAGGAACTGATCAGAGGATCTCATCCAGTATTTCTAGTACTAGTCTCCACTGCAGTATTCATTTCTGGTCCTATTTCTTTCTCTTGGTCCTCACAATATCCCTTTTACTGTACCCATGCTTTTGATTCATTCAATTCCTTTTCTTTATCCACAAATTGTATATTTTTAATCACTTTATAAACTGCTTACTTTCTCCTTATGTTTTCTCAATGAACTTACTAAACCATGTGGGTCACTACTTTCTTGACATCTACGTGCATTTTTGGGATTAATCTGCTCTGTACTTGAAACAGAATATCTTTCATCTGTTACCATCTGTTACCCACACTACAGTTACCTTGCTTAACTTAACTGCATTTGCCTTAAATCGGGGAAAAAACACCTAGAGTATATGAAGATTAAAATATCAGATTCGATTTCGGCGTCACACATACAATACATTGCCTGCCATGTGAATTCAAAAAAAGGTAACATTATACTGTAAATAAACACAGTTTATTAAAATTCACTTGCCATTTTCGTCAAGGCTTCCGGGTTTTGATACTTCAATCTGCAACTCATTCCTCAGTCTGGTGCAAACATTTATAGAAGAGACAATAAAAATTAGTGAAGCATGAAATAGTCAAATGAAAGCTGTTTAAGGATTCATTTGGAAAACATGCCAAAAAACATTAAAAACCCTTTAGTAGGCACCATATTCTGAAAACCCATTAGCTGAATTCTCAAGTGAATTGTTCTGAAGATTGTATTTCTAGACAGGTGAGCTTGAGTTAAGTAGTTGTTAAACACATTTATAATAAAATTATGATTGTATTTTTGTAATTAAAAAAGTGATTATGATGGCTATGAAGACCAAATAGCTTCCAGTGGAATAACATTTGAACAAAGTTTCCTTAAAGTTTAAAACTGACTGAATCAGAGTACCTTAGATCAAATAATAGATTTAGTCTGCATATCTCATATTTTTATGAAATATTTGCCATTATTGTGCAACACATCTATGTGTTAATTAGACACAAAATATTACTGGTTTGGATTAATCTTTTAATGCAGTCTCAATCCAGAAAAGCATATTTTCCCGAGTTCACATTTCAAAATGGGTAAAATTTCCTTTAGCATTGTGATAGAAAAAGACTGTCTTGAGGGTGAAGTTTCCAGTGGCATTCAACAAAGAAAGACTTTCTGTGTAATAATTACTGCTCATTTTCCTCCAGTGCTCTCTTAGCTGTTTCTCCCAGCCGGAGGACTTCCTCTGTGGCCAGCTCTACATCCTGTGTCATCACAAACTGGCTCTGTGTCCTTTGGATTTCTTCCACCAGGGGCTTTCATGGGTCAGAATGTGAAATATAACATTCTGAATAAGAGAACTACACAGAAAAAAGCTATGGAATTTATATAGAACATTTCCAACATGCAGTGTTTGGAGCAGTATGTGCTGGTACACCTAAGGATATGACTAAAGTTAGCTACTTTACTATTTGCTAAAGTATGCCTAATATTATTTATATTTTGATCTAAATAAATCAGACCGCAAACTTAAACAAGCAAGTAAATAACAATGCATAACTAGCTAACTGCATCACTGCATTTCACACATCCTTAAACCTTAGTTCCTTTTTACTGCTTCATACACAATTGTGCTCCACTGAGCTGCTGTCTTTAACAAACATTTACATCAAAGGACAATAAGCTTACCATGAGCTGAAGTGCAGGCTGGGATTCAAGGAGGGAATTTAAATAGAAGTCATATTCCATCTAACAGAAGAAAAAGAAATTATCAAATTTCCTTAAAAAGGGGGCTAGGTCTATGTGTAATTTTACTAATTTTTCTACTTTTTAAAAAAATTAAAATTCCTTTTTATGTGTCTCTCCAGGAACACCATGGGGTATATGTTTCGCCAATCAAACATATGTGTATTTATAAGTGTATCACATGGTTATATGATGCCTAAACATACAGTAAGGACAATCCTCTTTGGAATCCACAGAAACACAAGCAAACTGATCTCCTCATTTATGTAAATGATATCTACATTTTTTTATGTGTATCTTCACATTTAATTGTAGGACTTAAGGCAGTAAGACATACAGTAAAATGTATCCATAAAAATAAAATACCTTAATTTCCTTCAAAAGTTCCCCAAAGACCTGTGACCCATTGCACACGTCAGAAAAAATGTCACTAAACACCTTCAGGTGTGAATAACTGGGCCCGTCCGTGGAAGACAATTTCTTCAGTTCCTGTGTTACAGATATTCAGATGTCATTGGAATAGCTTAGGGAACACCACTTCATACACATATTGTGTCAACCTGTCAGGCCACGGAATCTGGGGTGTTTTCACCTTCCTACAACTGCAATTTGACAGCATTTCAGTTCCTTTTTGTAAACATTTTAATTTATTTGTATTCGGGCACAGTATAAGGGCAATATTAATAATACAGTATTAGGGCAAAAAATAAGATTACCCTTTAAACACGATGCCAGGTAGAGTCAACAGACATCTATGGGACATGTATTAATCCAATTTAACACCACATTAATTCAGTAATGATATACTTTTCATTGTTGTAGTACAACAGCGTCACCTTGCCCAAGATTTAAAAAAAACAAAACAGGATGAGTTTCAAAAGTGTTGTTTCAAAAGTGAAATAGATGAGCAGTTTAAGATAAGCATTAATTGTCTGCTACATTCATTTACTATTAATGCTTCTTTATGAAAAGGCGGCGTTGTAGCACACGTGTTACCTATCCATCTGTCCATGAAGCCATCCATCTGTGTTATGACTGTTAGACCTATCCCTGCCAGCAAGTAAAAGGGCACAAGGCAGGATACACCCTGGATAGAATGTCAGTCCATTGCAGGGCATGTACACACACAGACATGCACACACTCACACCAGGACCAATTTTCCAGGAGCCAATTAGCCTACCAGTATGTCTTTGGACTGTGGGAGAAATCTTGGGAAAACACCTGCAACGCATTTCATAATTCAGGCTCTTTACAAAGTTAAAAACATGCCAGGGTTTGTAATATGTCACATATTCTAATCTAGAGCAACTGTTCTAACATTAGTATGATGAGTAATATGTGAAAGTGATATTAAATACAAAACTTCTATTTCCATACAGTAAACTATTGCCTAGTAAAGGATATAAAGAGCTTACTTCTTGTCATGGTATTTGTCTCCCTCTTGTGGGATGACTGAGAACACGACTACTGCTATGTACAGAGGCAACTAAAAGAATTAACTCTCCTACACCAATGGTGCTTAACCATTTAAGTGTTACATTTATTTTATATATTTGTCTATTCCATGTTTCTAAAAGACTCCATTAAAGTCTACTTAAATATTTATTCTCAACCACATAGTGTAGTGAAACCACCAGAAACTCTTGTCAGAGTGAATGAGTGCTCCATGAACCCAGGACAACTGCCATTGTCAAATACCTTGAGCTGAACACAGACCGTTTTAGAACTCCACACACACAAACTATGAACTTCTGGAGATGGAGGGTGGGAATATTTGTTTGCAATCGTGAGTGTTTATTCCAAGCTTTAGCACAACAAACACAAGCTGGAGTGGAGTGGTACAGTACAAGAGGACAAGAGAAGCATAATGGGGCAGCCAAAAGATGTTTCGACATGGACCGTTCTCATGAAATCGGTACACAATTAAAACAGTTTTATAGTATCCTACCCGATCCAATTTCCTTGCGAGGTGCTCTGCAGCTTTGTGGCCACTCAACACGTGTCTTTCCTTCATGTCTTGTTTCTTCAGAACCACCTTTTCCAATTCTTGCATCAGCCTAAACTGCTCCTTCTTAGTCAGCCCTGCGTGGTGCGACTGTGTGAGCTGATAACAATCAGGGTTTTGCGCACTGCGTGTCCCATCGCTTCTCATGCCCGGGGGTTTAAACAATAAAAGTTCAGCAGGATCCAAAGAGCCTCTCAGTTTGTCCTTGCTGTCCACTTGCAGATGGCTTGCGCTGGCTGCAGCAGACAGACAAGGTTCTTCAGACCTCGGGGTCTGTGCTCTCCACCGGTCGGCTACTGAAGCAGTTTTTACAGTGAAATCCATCAAAGCATCTTTCATTCTCCTGACAGAAGCTTCTGATGTCTTCAGTCTGCGGGGAGATAGCGTTTTTTTCAGGTCTGGAGTCTTTGAGCTCTCCCAGATAGGTCCATTAGCCTTTTGGACTGGCAGTTTACACAGGTTGTCATGGTTGAGGTGTCCTGAGCTATAAGCCAGGATGTCTGCTTTGTGGGCTTTTTCCAAGCCCTGCAGTAATTCTTTACGGGTCTTGCTGAGAACATTTGAACGTAGTTTTCTTTCTTCCTGGTCAGCCCACATCACTAAAAGCAGAAAATATAATAAATATATTGATTGAGATATATATAATTAAGACTAGGCACCTCCATGTATACTGTACCAAAGCTTTGTTAAATTGAAACAACAATCTTGAAAAACTTCACTACATTATTTTGTAAGAACATTCTGATCATTAAAGACATTGTACTCGTGAACACATGCTGTACCCTCGAGGTACTCCAAAAATTACATTGATGGAAAGCGATTTACAGTAACTGGCTTATAAAGCTTTAATACATTAGTTTGTAAGCTGTTCTAGAACGCCCATCATTTAACTGTAAAGAACAATATACATGTATGTAACATGTAACATTATGTGCTCATATGCATTGAGCAATTATGCAAATAGAGAAAAAAAATACTACAAAAATTAAAATGTTATGTAACCTGTAGGCGTGAAGCCAGCATTTCTCTATTTTCAATGTCTTACTTCATATTATATTAACACAGTACATATGACAAATCATGATTTTATTATTAATTCGCGGAGAAAGCTTATTTTTAAGTTAGTGTACTGCAGACGCTTACCAAGAAGTATTTCCCCGATTGCCCGTGTACAGGAAGTTGATCTCTCACCATGACAACAAACTGCTCCGCTCTTCCGTCAGGCTCACTTGAACAGCGCTGCTGATGCTGCTTTTCAGTGATTGAAAGCTTGCACTTCTTAAGGTAAGAAGTTTTTTTTTTTATTTGATAGAAATGTTGCGTATTAAGGACGACTTATATTTAACACAAATAAATCGCTGTGCTATAAAACGCAGCTTACTTGCAATACTTCGTGTTAACTTGATAGTAATCCCATAATGAATACCTTAAAATGGTCCGAGTAGATTCAGCACGGATATCACGATGTTAACCCACAGAGCACATTTCAGGGTTATGGTGTTTATTTAAGCGAAAGCAGACTGTATGAGATAAGGGAATGTGAATATTTGTCCTGTCCTTTTCTCCAACTACCCCTCGCTGTGGAAGTCAACATTTTCGCATCTCTTGAAACCTTAGGTTTAGTATCTCGGAGCCCGGTCATTCATGCTCATTGTCATAGCTAATTATCAGAAAGTGATAATTATGGTGGAATCACACCACACAGTCATCCTCTGAAAGAAGGTGCTAGCTGAAGAAGGTGTAGTCCTTTGTGTTTATTTGAATTTGTGAATTTGTTTCTGTGCTTTCTGCTCATCAGACTATGGAAGAGATCATTATGAATGAATTATGAATTCTAGCTGGGGTTTGTGAATAAAATGTGTTTATTTTTCTCTGCTAGCTAAAGTGGCTTTCCCGCAGGACCACACAGTGGAACACAATGTGTAAAAATGGCTGGCAACAGTGAGCTAGCAGATTGCATTGCTGCACTAAGTACAGAACTAAACACCCATTTGTCCGCTATTCAGCAATTGCTCACAAACCTAGTTTCCCTTTATTGTGAAATGCACTGGCTAAAAATCTTCTCTCCTATTTTAGTGATGCCTTTGTGTAGAAATGTGGTTCCTACTCCATTGCATTTTTTTACAGAGGGAGATTTAGTTCAAGTCAGGATCCTTTTTTTAGGAAATAGCTTTATTCACAATGGGCTTGTAAGGTGTTTCATGTATTTATATTTTAAATATATAATTCTGGGCATTCTGTACAGGGTATATATAGAAGGTAAGGCCCCTAAGCTCCCGGAACTGGAAATATCTGCATAAGCATACAGTACCTGAGTAGAGCATGTGTGTGTTTATTTAGTTGTTTATAAATATGTCTTTTTGCCTGATTATTACTCTGTTATTTAGTCTGTTGGAGAATAATGAACACGTGTGTTGTGTAGTGGTCAGTAATCCCTAACTTCATGCAGTGAATTGTTATCTGGGAGAAATTAGTAATCATTATTATTTGCTTGCACTGCAAACTGGAGTCGCAACCTGATGTTAATACTGAATGAGTAACCTCCCAATTTTTTACTTTATTACACCCCTCCCCCTCTCTGTTGTTACATTATTATCAGGATAAGTGCAAAATGTTTATTGCAGCAGGTGCACTGACATTGTATTAGACATGAGAGGGTAAATTCCTGCTGATTTACAATTCTATTCCGCAAGGTTTATCAACAGAGGTTCTATTATGAAAGTTACAGACTAAAAGCATGTGCCACCACCACTGTATAAATGCAGTGCAGGGTTTGCACCATGTTGCAGATGCTGTTTTGTAGTGTTCTGTCCCATTACTCTAATAGTATGTGAATGAGCATGTGCTTCTGAGCCCTGGATGCCACACTTCATCCCATCCCAGCTCATCCCACAAACGTTCAATGGGGATCAAGTTTGAGAAGTTGTCCATCAATGCCGTAGCTATCATAATCCGATCTTGCTGTTGCTCCACGAGCAGCCCAGGGACACGTGCTGCCCTTCTGCAATTCTGTTTCTTCACAGTGAGCCTGCAGCAGAGGCAGCAAGTGAGGACGTGATCGCTGTAGCGCTGTGCAGTCAAACTCCCGTATAAAATCAATTACACATATCTTTTCATTTACATTTGACATAGTTGTATTAAAAGTCATTTTTAAACTGTAAGTGTTTATTATGATGTGGAGGGAAGACTGTTGGCAGGGGAGGGAGGTGAACAGTGTGGAAGTAAGGAGGAATGCGCCTAGAACTGCAGATAAATGGTTATGTAATATTGTGATAGATTGCAATACAGAAGTTCAAACTTGAATAGAAAAGAATAATAAGATTAATACATACGTATTAATTCTGTTGTTTTGCACAAACAATATGCTACGGGGCTAGTTCGGACAAACTTTTTCTTACTTTTTTTTGTTTCACGATCACTGTCTATTTTTTTAATCTTGACATTCTTATATTTTGGGATCCACTTTAAGAAGGTTTGCCTCTCCATGTAGATTTCAAGATTTGATTGATCTCATGCTCTCCTTAGGTTTAGTGCATTGCAAGTGTCCCTACTCCTCATTTTAGACTGTGGTGACGTAGCTTACAGAATGACATCTTAAACTGCTCTGGGAAACCTCATATTTAATACCATTCTTTTAATACCATATTTAAGACAATTCTGTATTTCATACCAGTTTATCACAGACTCCCCGATACCACACTCATCAGTGTGAGCTTTATTCTTTGACTAATTGGGCTTCTGCATCCTTGATAAATCCTTCACTGGTTTAAAGTAATTTACAGAACTTGAATTAGGAGAACAGCTAGGGTTTCACCCTAAGACTGAGTCAGTAATTAGACTTCTTCTCCTGTGTTCTCTATTTGTAGAAATCCTAATGAAAACCAGCTGAGTTTGAGACCTCATACTCCCTTGTGCGAATCTGTGCACTTGTTTTCTTCACTAGAGCAACCCGAAGCCTCCCTCTGGTGGTATAAATCAACATGGACACTCCAAGATTGCACTCTCTGTTACACCACCAAATAATTTCTTGGAGACCTCTGTACTATCCTGCGACCTTAGATGTGGTACTGTTATTAAACTGAACCTACCAGGAGGACCTTCTATCTTTAATCACAAGTCATTTCCATTTGCCCCATTCAGAACCTTCAGAATGAGCTTAATCTACCTTTGCATTTGAGGGCATTTTTAGTCATATGATTAATTCCTCTCTGCTTGACCCTTAAAGTTGTCAACAAACATATCCTGTTATTTTTATATTGGTTATTTATTTCTTTGATTGATCTTCTGTGAAACACAGGTACTGTATAAGCATTTTGTCCAGTTCAACAATTTAAATGAGAAGTTGTTCTCAAGTGACTTTTTCTAATTAAAATATATATTTGTATATGTAGTGCATAAAATATCCAAAATATCCAAATATCATGCATAATCAAAATGTTGCACACAGCATACTCATTATTTACAGTTTAAATTAGTGGTTCAAGTAGTTTCCATCTGATTGTAAGTGCTGGTAAAAGCATTCACATAACACTAGATGGCACTTGCACCTTTAAAATAACATTTTTCCCAAGAATTTCATTATCAGCATCGAACTGTCCTGAAGTCCTTCAACATTACAAATCACTACTTCATTTTGGTCACAAACGAGATTTGCTCAGGACCATATTATACAGAAAGTCAGGGAGATGTCATTAAAACTGACTCTTGTGTTCCCCATAAACAAACTGTGACTGTTTGTGTGGCTTATGTACATTGTTATTATGCATATAATCCATGCTTGATTTCATACATATCCCTGTTGATTTTGCTATCCTGTTGAGTGTTGGACGTTTTAAAATCGTAAGCTGTCTTGCACGAAAAAGGGATGTGCCTTAGATATGGGTGCTTGGTTGCTGTGCTTTTCAACAGTGACACAAGGGCAGTGCAGTTTAAAAAATGACTTACATGTAGGGTCTATCCAACATCACCCCAGTGTTTTTCACAGCACCATATTTTACACCCAGCGTGGGTTTTGCCATTGAAATCATATACCCTTAAATCCTGACTTTCACCAACTGACTTACATTTCCGGCAGCTAAACCCTGCACTGTGTAATACATCCATCCATTTTCTAACTCATTCTTCCAATTCAGGTTCATGGGGAGCCAGAGCTTATCCCAGCCAGCTGCAGGCAGGGTATACCCTGGATGTGATACCAGTCCATCACAGGCTACACACAGACATACTGTACAGACACACCTAGGGCCAATTTTCCTAGAAGCCTAGAAGCATGTTTTCTGGACTGTATGAAACCCACACAAATACAGAAAGAACATACAAACTCCTCTCGGATAACACCTCAGCATGACCAGTGCGCCAACAGTGTAAAGCTTTTGATTATATGTAGTTGGAAGACAAGTTTCAGAAGGAACAGTGAAACATGACTCAGAGGGCACAAGTGGAAAATAAGTGGAAGTGTATTTAAAACAGAGAACAAGAGATACTTATTTTTTACTTCTAAACTTGTGGACGTTTAGAACAAGGTACCCAGCCATGTTGTTGAAACTGTTACCCCGGTTTCATACACTAAATAGCTGTAGGAGATCCTTAAATCCACTGGTTGGATGAGCCAGATGACCTCCTCTTATACGTAATCTTTCTCCCAGTCTGTTCTTTACATTGTATTCCCCCCAATAATAAGTTTTTCAGTTTTTCTTATTGTTGTAAGGTGTGTTTATAAATCAATTACCTATAGTTATAACTATTGAAAAAAAATTGTATTCCCGTACCAGTGAACAGAGTGATGGGGGAGTTAAAAATAAACTGCAAGACAATAACTTTAATTTGGAACAGGCATACTGTACAAAGGTCAAGCAATGGAAACTGTGCCACAAGTAGGAACAAGATGTCATGATAAGCAATGGAAAGTCTAAACTATCTAATGGTCTAAAACAAGAATTCGAGCAACAATGGAAGAGTTTCAGATTAGAATTTCTTCTTGGCAGCAAGGAATACTGGACATTGGATGCAGTAGACAGAGGAGATGAGCTCCCAAAAGCACCTCCATTTTCAGATACTTTAGTTTCTCAGATGAGAGAAGATGCTCTTAGTTGTCAGATGCTGGTCACATGTGGGTGTGGTGATATGCACAACAGTAATTTTCTTTTAAGCAGCTACATGTCATGATATGGTGATATTTCCCTCATCATCCATTCAGGACATTTCCTGGAATAAACACTCAAGCCAACAACTGGGGCTGGCCTAATCTAAATTATGCAAGATGAAGAGATGCAATTCCATAGGATTACACTGGAAAGTTCATAAAAAATGTGCCAACTTTTTTCTGCCTTGCATTAGGTACATGAACATTCTGTTAATATAGTTACGTGCACCACTAACAATAGTATTTTGAATAAATACGTTTTTCAATCACACTTGATTGGTGTCTTAATCTTTTTTGATGAGTCTCCCTGTATTTAAATATAGCAGAAAACATGTTAATAACTGTGCTAGAGAAGATTTTTAGAGATAAAATCATGTAGTTGAGCCTACATTAAAGAGGACACAATTACACAATATTCAGTTTTCTAGGATGCTCAGCAAACATTTGAACTCAACTTCTGTTCTTCCATTAGAAACAAAGTTTGAAATGTTTGAAAAGTCTGATGCTTGTTTTCCTCATTATGGCTGTCTGATGTTGTGAAGAATCTAGGACATCTTAGGATACTTACATATAGGCTCTTTAATTTTACATGTTGCATGACTTTTCAAGCAACTATAACAACTTATGACAGATGAACAAGAGTTACATAACCTGCCCAGACCTGCTTCATCAGAGTGATACATCCTCCTAATCATTGCCAAAGTGTTTATAAGACCACAGAATCACTCCCATCATTGTAACCAGACCTGTTCAGAGGCATCTACACAAACTAGAAATCCATGCTCACCAACCTATACTGAAGTCATGGTCCAAATCCCAGACATATGGTATTAAGATGCAAACTTCAATAGGCTTCCTTATTTTACTCTGTCAAACCAGGATTTTAATTCCATTGAAGATCCCTAGGACAAATTGGTGTCTGATGTGTTTAAAGTGTTCTTTGAAGACAATTCCACACAGAAGCTTGTCAAAGCCAATAAATGACATTTCTTTGCTCTATTTCAACCAGATAAACAATGCTCAAAAAGCAAAGTTTATATCTAATTTGAAATGGAATTGCATGTTAGTGCAGTGATTAGCATTGCTGCCTCTGGGCATTGGGTACTGGGTTCAATTCCCGGGTGCTGTCTGGGTGAAGTTTATCTCTACTTCCCCCGTTTGCACGAGTTTCCTTCAGGTGATACAGTTTCTTCTTACAGTACTCCCAAGACATACGAGTAGGTTAATGGGCTTCTGGGAAAATTGGCCCTGCTGTGTTTGTGTCTGTTTGTGACCTGTGATGGACTGGATTCCATGAAATTGCCTATATTTGAGGAGCAGTAGCATCACAAGAGTATTGGATGGGTTTTGGACAAGAGTTTTTTTTCTAAAGTCATTTATGGTTGGTTTACTTGCACCCATTGTCTATTATATTCAATGTTGATTCATTACTTGAAATAAGACTACAGAAGTAAATGAAAAACAAAATATCTGTTCTGTGCATTTATTTACAATGGTATAATAAATGGTTTTGATGTTCTATAGTACAAACATAAGAGTATTCTTTTAAATACAAAGACTGCAAATGAATACATGGAGAAAAAACAACATATACAATATTTAAATTTATAAATGTGAATTTAAGACATCTCAAAATTATTGCACTTGCATATATATTTTATACAAACCAAAAATAAGAATAAAAAAAATACAGCTTATTTTATTCAATTGGTAACCAAGTACTTGGTATGCTACCCTGAATCAAATTACTTGTGAAAAAAATCCCATCCCAAGCTTTGGTCACAGATTTTATACACATTTGTTCTTTATATGTGTACAAACCTAAGCTAATCATTTGTTCTTACATTGGAGCAAGTCAGATCTCGGATTACTAAGAGTAAGTAAAGGAGTTGTAAATATTATCCATTAACTGTTTTCCACAGCTGAACTGATCAGAAAGACAAGGATCTAAGAAATGGATACCTACAGTAGCAACAATGGAGAGAAAAGTACAATAAGACTCCTTCCTGTTTTGATATTCTTGCACTGCTTTGGAAAAAGCAGCAGCTGCATATTATTACCTTCTGTTTAAGTTCCAGTTAAATTTGACCATACCAGGGTATGTGAATATTCGTTTCACGTATTATAAATAACATCAGTCTTTATTCCCAGAACAACAGAGAATGAGACCTTTTCTTTCTTTCTTTTTTGAAAGGGTGGGAAAATAAATTTTTAAGATCAGCATAATTTGATTCACTTACGTGCTTCAGGAAACTTACTACCTCTTGCCTTCCATAGTTTAATGAAAAAGTTATCATAGAGCACAGTGATTTATAAGAGCAGATTACAGTGGGGTCACAAAGCAGAACCTGAGCTATTTCAGTGAAGTAATGTTTCTGGAACTACACAATTTTCGAGGAGGACTGTGGCCATTTTTAGCACAAGCATAATTTTGTTAGCCACATTTACAAAACAAGGTGTTTCATAAAAGCCATATTAAGGAATAGCTGTACAATAAGTGCTCCTAAACAACATATAATGCATAGCCCCCAAAAGAGATATTTTAGTTTTTAGGTTTGTTTGTGCAAAGTTCTTGCTTTATTTCCCTTCATATTAACTGGCCTGAAAGCTTTTGTTAATGGCAAGACCTTCCCTTGAAAACAACAAAACAAAACATGCATGTTCTCATATCTTTACATGCTATTTAACCTGTGTTGCACACCATGAATGAGGTCAAAAACCTTCCTTTCATAAAATCATCATTAAATGTGCTCATTAAACATATTTCTCCACTTTCAGGTACTTTTATATTTTCCAAGCTCAGGTTTGCAGCAACACCCCAAGTAATATGCACACATTCTCCCCTTCAGCTGGTTATAGATTCCCTTGATTGCAAGCATGCTGTACAAAGCCTCCAGGCTTAATGGATCACATTAAGTTACTCCACAATGCAAATGCCATTGAGTTCCTGAAAAACCCTCTGAAGAGTTACTAAGAACCAAAAATGTCAGAAGCAAAGACACCTGCTATGGCCCTAACATTAGCCACTACTTTCACAAGGTTAATTTTTGGAAACGTACTTACAGTAAATATATGTCAAAGCAAGCTAAAAAGACATATTGGATTGACACTGCAGTCCAAAATGAATCATAAACCACACATGGGATATAGTTCCTTATAAATTAGTTTAAGAACTAACTTCTTGATAAAATATTAAAATGTACCGTTAACATTGATTTCTTTTATCAAGGAAGGTGGGGAAGAGAAAGTTGGTTGATTAATTTCTAGGTCACAGCAACTTAAGTGTTTCTTGGTAATGATCACACAGATTTTTCCATTTATATAGTTCTTGCTTTGTGCAGTAAAGTGTTGATAATTGTTAAATTTATACCTAACATTATTTTTCCTCTAATAGCAACCCGAGTGTGAAGGAGACCTCCTTGGGTCAGGCACCTCACATCAACTATATACAGGTAAAAAAACCTTGCAGTCATCCATCTTGACCAATCGGAATGGAAGACTGTGTAGATCACCATGGTGTTTTATCCTGTGCTGCTGGGCTTTAGCACTCATTATAAGTTTTGGTAACTGACTGCAATCTAATATGCATTTCAGTGTTGGGTGGCAGTTTTTACAACAATTTCATTTTTAAATAAATGTCTTTTATGAAATTTCAATGTCACACTAAAATGGTTATTTATCTTAGCTCGCAGTTATCATTGCTATTTTCTGCCCATTTCCCATTCAATATTCATAACACAAAGTGCTTGTTCAAAATTGTTTGCAGTGGTCTTCCACCAACACAGCACTTTCTGACATCTAAAGAAAAACACTGGGGAACAGCCAAATTACAATGCAGAAAGAAATAAAATTACATCATCTTTTTAATGGCAATGGTGTTTTTTTAATACGGAGAGACACACATTAAGTTTTTTTATGACAAAAAATGCTATGTAATATTTAAATAGTTTTTCTGATTACACAGAAGGTGAATCTTGTTTTCATCAACAAATAGGTTGATAAATCTAAATGCAGTTATGTTCTCCCCACACTGTACTAGTACACAAGTAAAGAGCCAGCTTTTTTGTAGTAATGTTGTTACTGAAAACTAAAGAAACACTAACTAAAGCCATAGTGCAATCAAAGAAACAGAAAGGTGCCAGATAAGGAATCTATACATAGAAACCTTCCTATTACAACCCAGAAGAATTGGTTTTAGAAAAACGGGTTAAAACACTGGAGGCACAAAGATGAACCTCCTGATAGCACCATTGATGATTGCAGCTGCGCTATATTATCCTAGCAGTGAAACAATTGTAGAATATCTTATTCTTTGCAGGGCCATTTGTTTAAAAGTATGGATGACATTCAATACAAACATTATTCTAGAAGTTTCTTCTAAAGTGCACGCTCTAGAAAAGCAATACCGTGTATGAAAGTTAGCAACATTAAAACTCCCCAACTTGTAGATTCATGCTTCTGACATTAACATTTGTAGCAGTTTTGCTCCGTGTGCTTTTTTCATGAGTTTTTTTCTTCCGCTTCTGATTTTCTGTCTAAAGATTAATCCTAACAGAGACATTTCAAAGTACTTTCCAGAGTTATGAACCACTTTGTTATTCAGATATAAATAGACTTTTCTTACAAACCACTGTTTTATTATTACTGAATTTCAACATACTCGGTTAAAGAGTGAAAGATTCCCACAGCACCCTTGCTGTTGACCTCTTAGGTTTAGTCTTTTAGAACATCATGCATATTTTGGAACGCTCAAATATAGTATGTATCTCTTTATATATGGAAAATAATTTTTCACAAAATTATCCACAAAGATTTTTCAATTTTCTGAAGTTGTCATCCCTGCCTCCACTCTTCAGGTCCTTGCTCATTAGCAAATGATTGAGGATTTCATAAAACAAGATGGGCAAAACTGCAAGAGAACACCAGCTGTTACACTCCCGTCGGTTACCTCTTCTTACATTCTGTGCATGTTACTTGGTGAAAGAGTATATTATAGATATGAATAATAGAAGTTTGCATTTATCCAACAATCTTCAACAATAAGGCATTTCCATTCATGTATTTTCTCTGTTTACTTTAAAGCTATTCCTCTTAAGGAATGAAGGAGCTTATTATTAGATATTATTTTCAGTTTGATTCTCATTTAGACATTTCTTCAAATATCAAAATTGTTTCAGAGTCTACCCAGACTGTACACAGTGTGCAGAAATCTGTGCATTTTGCTTGGCTGAGACTAATAATAAATGGTACAACATAAGATGGACAACCAAAAATAAGTTAGATGTTTCAAATAAAAACACAAAAACAAAGCACATTGCTAAAAAAAGTCTGAATCTGATAATACTACCTTAAGGAGTGCAATTCCAACCTGCAGTGTCAGTCTTCCATCCTCTATTGCTATTTTAAAGGGAATATTTTCACTACTGCAACTAACTCTTCTTCCTTAAAAATTACATTAGCTTAACTTTGTTGAATATCACAAAACCTATACAATAGGACAACGACTTTTTTAAGTCCACCAGTTTAAGTCTGATCATTTCATGCTCTAGAATAATTCAATGGTAACTGATTTCATGCAACTGTTTGCATTTGGGGATCATTTTAAACAGAAGATACATTTCAAATAAATTACATGACTTCAAATATTCTTGATATTATTCAAATTTAAAGTATTGCAGTCAGTTCAGTCGTCCTGACCCCAGTATTAGTCATAACCCTTACTACCATGCCCAAGGCTCACAGCTATTTGTGGGCTCTTATTCCCTGAAGTTCAAGAGCTCACTGCAGCATTTCAGAAGTTCTTTATCTCGTTATATTATTGTGTCTTCCAAAAAGACAGACTGTTCTGTGGTGTTCTGTAAAGCTAATGTACATATAAAGTGGAGGTTCCCAGAATTCACAGTTAAAGAATTTCAGCGAGGAACACTGCCAGTCATTATGACTACAGTGGAAATCATGTTATCTTAGGCCAAAATGCTTTGCCACTCCTTGCACCTGGAAGGTTGAGTTTTTTTTTTGCCATCTGCTGTAAGAATAGGTTGTATTTTATTCAAGTACTGGTACAGAACCTTTTCTCTTGATAACAGACACATTCCTGAGACCGCAATCATTGTTTAGTCTCACAACACGCATCTTCCATAAACATTCCGGCTGATGTATAACTAATCCATTAGCGCTTTGTGGAATTAGCCAACCACAGTTTCAAAAGTACCATTTCTACAGGTTAAACCTCTAGAACACAAAACAGGCAGATTTAAAACCACCTGCCTTAGTTAGGGTTTTGAATTAAGGCCTCAGCAAATATAGACCGCAAAGGAAATCGGTTAAAACAAAATAAAACAAAACGCTAAAAAATAGACGTTCACTCTGCTGAACATATTCCCAAGCGGTATGGTTCAGGTGATCAGATCACAAGCCTCATTCTTCAACTGAAGTCCCTAAAGTCACCATTCCAGGTGACACCTTCAGTCTATGGACCTCCATCACCCAATGAGGTAACTGTATGTTTTTAGTGTTCTTCAACGAAATCACTCCTCCACCTAGTGCTCCTCTTCCTGGCCTCACAGGAAGGTGGTCGTGCGCACAGGAGTCTTTCGCAAGATTTGTTTCCCTCTCTGTCTCTGTAGCTCCCTGTCCATATCAATTGTCTATTTTCACAGGAACGGTCTCCGCAGAATCAGAGGTAACAGACTGGGAGGGAACCCACATGGAACTGTCCTCTCCTTCAGCCAGTTTTTCCCACTGGGCGAGGTTTTCCCTAAAAATAGAAGCACACAGTTCAGGCAATGAATGGAAAACACTCTAAGATGTAAAGGCCTTATAAGTACCAGAAAATGTGCAATTGTGAAATTGTTAAATGAAAAATACCAAACATTTCTTATCTGGAAAATATGAAAATACTGGAGGGAATGTGCAACTTGAGGTTTACCATAACGAGAGTTATCGTAAAAGAACGAGCTATTTTAACCTATCATCATAAAAAGCATCCACTCTCAATAGTGTAGGAACTTTCAGTGGTGTTGGCTATGGTTGTGTCTGAGTGCAAACTGTCAAAAAAAAAAGGAGGAATACGTCTGATTAACATACTAAACAGACGCTGTTGGCAGACACTGATAACAAACAATTTCAATAGACTGCTTCCAAAAGAAATGGACATAGGCTTGCCTACAGGCTTATGCAGAGAAAAAAAAATGAATATCTTAAACTAGGTCAGCTAGTTTAATTGTAGCATTTTTTCCTTAGGTTTTAACACGGCTAAACAATTGTATGAGAAAGTAGTGTTTTTTTTTTTAGACCATTCCTTCCAATTAGAAGTTGATGTAGTTTATACGTCTGCCTGATCCCACAACTAGCAGGGGCTCCAATGTGTCTGGGATGAGTGCCCATGAATTCCATCACAGAACCTTGGTGCTGACGCAGTGTTGAGCTTTTCATATCACTAAACAGAATTTGTTTGCATTCCCAGTAGTTCAAGGACACAGTGGCTTAAAACTGCACTATCCAGACTCCTAAAATAAAGATCTATAGGATAATTAATACAATGATATAAAAAGGGAATCCTAGTTTTTTTTTTCAAAAAGGCAATCATATACACTTACTGCCCAAAACAGTAGGAATACTCCCACCACCCTCCGCCAAATAACATGCTGGGGCTCTGTGAGCAGCAAGAACAGCTTGAACAAAATGAAACATTCTACAAGATTTTGAAATATTGGAAGCACATCCTCGATTTCGCTAACAAAACTGTTTCTACTTAGGGCTGTTACGAGGGTTGTTTTGTGTTTGTAGATTCCTTATGTTTTCAGGATTTGGGATTGTTCTGGTCAGGAAAATGTGTTGGAAGCCTGTGTCTGGATCCTCAACCCAACCAATGCCTGACACTGAGAGAATCCATTGTTCTGGCTGGTACTCCTAAAGATGTGGCCAGTAAGCACAGAATTTTGCCCAATGTAGGCATCAGTATTAAAATGCATTTGTACCTGCATGCTCTCAGAAGTGGGGTGGATGGAGGAAATAACTCAGACAAAGTTGTATAACAGGGGATTGCTACCGCATTGTAGAAACCCACCTATCAAAAAAGAAAGTAAAAGGTTAAAAAGTACATAAACTCGCCTTTGAGTAAACAGGAAAAAAAGTATTCTAAGGAACTGGAACAAAAGAATCAAATGGTAGAAGTGTGCAATTTCAGGGGATAAATCCAGGGGCATAGTTTGAATAGTTCCTTAATCCGACTGCTTTACATGTCAAGAGATGGAAGAATTTCAGTTTTGTGGAAAGAACACTTTTTAAAAACAAGAAGAGACATCTTAAATAAGAAGTACTAAAACTGAAATGTATTTCAGTGCTGTGTTGATTTGATGCTTATTAAACCTTTTTTTTTTCTCCATAAAAACCTGGCTTATTAAGCTTGGCTGGCAATACCAGGTGGGATTTAGTAACACACCCATCAAACAGAAAACATGAGGGTTATAAAAATTGAGAGATTCTCACTTGACCCTGGGGAACTTCATCTTTTTTATCTCTATCCATCATAGGGATTGGCTGCATACCGATCTTTTTCATTTCATCTCCCTATGCAGAGAAAGCAAGAATAGATTAGAACTATTTTGTTAACCTTAGACAGCAGCAGCCTTTTTAATAGAACATGGAAAAACAAAAAACAACACAAGTTAAGAAACAAAAAATATGAATTAGAGAAATTCTCATACCTCAGCCCAAAATTCTGCATATATGTCATTAGCGGTCAACCTTGTCACAGGCCACAACTTTGTGACCGAGCACAGGTCACATGCTGTCATCATCAAACCTATGACGCGATCCCTTTAAACAAAAAGGAAAACAAGTTCTTGTTAAGATGACCACAAGTAGGATTCTGTCCTCTTCTCGTTATGAAATAGCCTCCCCTCTGTGTTTTACTCAAGGGCTGTGTCTGAGTACATTTCATTTTTTTTCTCCCTAGCTATTGGGTCAAACATCTCTTTACTGTAATATTTTAAAACAAATAGAGTGTCATTTGTATTTTTTATTACATACCCACCCAATCTGGAATAAACAGTCATTTACAACCTGGCTTTCCAGCAGTGATTCTTGTACCCACAAATAAAGAATGAGGATCCATAAACACACCCCTCCAACATGTCGTCCTGTCAGATTTGTTTTTTTTTTTATTTACAGGAGATTGGAGTAACAGATTTTCACACATCACATCACCAAGACTTCAGGGTCATTTCTGGAGTCACTGTTGTACCCATCCCTATCGCCAATTGCATACTGCCATTTGGGGAGCCCCAGTCACATTCAGCTAGCCATATGACTCGGGCTCAAACTCATGACTGCTGGGCTGCAGAGGACTCCAAGCAAGTGCCTTGGTGGAGGTTTTCTTGAAACACCTTCCTTCAGATGAGAAATGACAAAGTGGAGTGACAAATGCTGACCTGAAGAATGGGCATCAGGTAAGCGGATATCTCAGGACAATGTCAAGAGTGTGGCCAGAGGATGTCTTGGGCTACCTGTGTGCGTGATTGTTGAGGTCCAGAGCTCCTGTCGTTAGTAACTCCACCAGCTGCTTCCTGTTGCCAAAGTACAATGCTAGGTCTGTGGCAATGATGGCTTTCCGGATGATCTCCAGGACTTGCTCATACTCACTGGAAGTCAGGTTGGAGAAAATATTGTGCCCTTCCAGCTATGAGAAAAATAGAGATCAATAAAAAAGCAAAAGCTCTACTTATGAGGCGTTCGTCTGATCTTTATTTGGGATAAAAGTCTTCGGTAAATATTATTAATTGTCTTAGCTCTTTACTGAGGAGGAATCGTATTACACAACCATTCTGGAAACGTTTTGTGGAGTGGGTTTCTTAACCACGCTGTATTCATCTCAACATTTGTTCCTCCGTGCCCCACGTCACTGCACTTGGAACATGCATCTGTCCAGGAAGTAGAATGTTACAGGAAACCAGCTGGACTCGGCTGAGGTCCTGTATGTTAGCGTTACCTGCAGGATGGAGACAGTTTGAGAGAAGTGATGCTGCTCCATGGTGGATGTGGAGTACAGAGCAGCCAGGGGGTGGTCAAACTTCTGCAAGTAGCTGTTGCTGTAGCCTCTGTGATCCAGGTCATGACAAAGGCAGGCTACCAGGAGTCCTTTCCGCTGCAGAAAGAAGCCAGAAGAACACAAAGACGTACACCAATACACGTGAAATGAAGTCCCACAAATTCCAAAATGTCCGGTGACATCATGCTTCACAGGTACCCTTTGGCCAGAGAGAAAGCAGGGAGGAAGTGCAGATCCATCAGATCACAACAATGCTCATGAAACACGATCAGGCTCCCATCAGTTGGGTCCCAGCCCTTTCAGCTTGAACCACCCTTTTTCATGCACTTCCTCCCCATAGGTACCCTCGATTTAAATGAAAAGAATGTCAAGATACAGAATTACCATTACAAAACCTTGAAAAAAAATGATAAAATATGAATATGAACTAATTATTCTAAAGAGTTACCACTTATTTTAACCGGAGCAGCTCCATTAATGAAACAAACCTAGATGCTGTGTGAAAGGGATGATTTTACGCATTACTACTATAAGGTTGAATTTTCTCTTCGCTTGTCTCTGATGACCCCCCTGCATAATCTACCAATCTACTCCCTTACTACTGCTCTTAAGGAGAAATTCTATAGACGGGAGCAACTACAATATCCCCTACTGGTTCCTGCCATTAATCTTACCCATTGGTTCTCTAACTAGTAGACGAGGTCCCCTGAGGGATAATCCAGGGAAACTGGAATTGGATTCAATAAAGTGAAATATTTTCAATTTGTTTAATTTGTCAGAAGAAAGACACTAAATGACAATGCGCTGAAAATCCGGTTGTCATTTTTAAATACAACATGCAATCCCTCATTTTCTTTGTATATAAAAATTAAAATTTAGTATAGATATGCTGTATTATTTTAAAGTAAAGATTTACCCTGGCATCTTTAGCAAGCAGTCTGGTAATAATAACTCAAATGTACATAAATTTGTCCGTTATCAGAAAGCAATTTATTCCTGGTGGTTTCTAATTACACATCCTATGAGTAGTGATATAATGAGAAATGTCTACATTCTAACTATCCCCAACCACCACTTACTTCTAGTTCAGTAAAAATGTCTTGGTTTTTCTGCAGAATGGCATACATGCAGTGAGCCACCGTTAAAGCATGTTTCCAGTTGTGGTAAGGGACACGCCGATAGTTTTTCCTCACTGACATGGTGAATCGGCACAGCTTCTCGAGTTCAAAGCTAGGCATGGAGACGGATAGAGACAGGAAAAAAAAAAAGACAGCTAATCAATCAACCACACCACCACTGACTCAGATCATTAAGAGTATAGTGCTGTCCCACAGTGCTGTCAAAATTCGATGAGCATTTGGCTTTTAATCCAGGGGGAAATAAATTCATCAAGGTGTTCGTATTCTCTGCATGTGGCCTTGGCACCGGGGACATCCTGGGCACTGCCTCAGGGCTAAGGCCAAGCTAGCAAATCTGTGATGTTCTTGGATGGCAGCCAGCTCAATCGGTATGATGCTGTTTCTTGTCATAATATTTTTTATTTATTAATTGGTGGCATCTGATCCTCAGAAAGGCTTACAATCTTACTAAAATGTTGCAGTATTTTCATATATATTATTTTTTTAAAAGATGTCCCTTTTGAATTGTTTGGACTATGTTAGAAATAGCATTCAATGCTGAATATCCATTAGTGTATGCAAAGAAGACAATGTAAAAATGAATTAATCTGTATTTAGCTGAAGAGGAAAATCAAAATTTAACGTTTGAAAAGAGCTGCATGTTGTTTTGCGTTTACGTTTAAGCATTGCATAATTACAGTGTAAGTCTCCAACTAACTAAGGTATTTAGTTACCTGTTTTTTCCACATGAATTGTGGACCATGTATACAAAGACTGCCGGCCATAGTTCTTCATAAGGATTGATATCAAAGTGAAACCTATGACCAAAGAGTAAAACAATCCATTAAACCATGTATATCAGCACAAAAGTAGCGATCAGAAACAAAGTGTTGACCTATGATCCTAAAGAATAGGGTACAAACTTCAACTGCAACTTCAGTATAAAGTATAAAATGAACAACAAATAGAAACTTGTTTTAAATTCTGTCAAACAATGACAAAGAACCTTATTGTTGGGGGAAAGGGGGTGAGTAATGGATGGTCTAGTATGTAATTTCTTTAAAACTTTCTGAAAAACGTATGTGGTACAAGATCTGCACATTTTTGACTGTGACCTGTCAGTTTATCAAAATTGTTTATCAATAATACATGTGTTTTAAAACCACATGGCACCAGGAAATAAAAGCACTGGAATTGCCCTCAAGAGAAACTAAAAGGAATGACAGTACTTTGCTTTTACTAAGTGTGGTCACTGTTTGGTGACAAGGTTTTCCAAGGTTTGGAAAATAATTATTATGGTTCAGTCTCCGTGAACAACAATCCCAGCTAGCACAGGGATACAATAAGTTGTCATATCCTTTGTAGGACCAGATAGTATATACAGTACATACATAGTTTCACTTTTAAAACATTGAACAAGTAAAGATTTTTAAATGAGTGATGGAGACATAAATACCACCAATGTGAACGTTTAATTATAAACCTTTCCTACCCCATAATACTATGAGCCATCAGTTAGGTAAAAGGCCTTACAGCTCTATTTCTTTGTACATGGGTGCTGGAAGTGTCAGCTGTGTGAGATTCTTCCACTCCTCTGATGTGCAGATGCTGTGGTAGGAGAGCTTCTCCATGGTCACTCTGTAAATACACTCTGAATGTCGTATCCTGTGGTACATCTAAAAACACAAACACATTGCAATAATTTTTCTGCAATGCACTTAATGTCAAAATATTTTGTTCCCTTGTAGTACTGTGAATGTTGACCAGCATGTTGCAATATACTGTATAAAATGTTTTCAGTGTTTAAGGCAAAACGTATTCTTTTACGTTGATACTTCTTATACTATAGATTAGCTTATATTATTATTATTATTATTATTATTATTATTATTATTATTATTATAAATGCTTTAATGTGGGCCACTATCTGGTTTCCAGTCTCTATTAAGCATATAGCATATCTAAAAGCATAAGAAGATCAAGTAACATCCTGAAAGCCACAGTGTAAAAAACAAATCAAATGTATCTCTCTCAATGGTTGACTCAAATTTGCAAATCATTAACAGATACAAATATCAGGTTTATTTTATTCCTCTTTAAAACATATTTTTGAATGCTTCTGTGATGTTTGTTGTTTATTTAACAAAAATATTGTGTGCAATTTTTAAGGCGTTACTTTAAATGTCTTTAATATCCATCCATGAATCCATCATGCTATACATTCCATATATTCATTCATCTTCACAGCCACTACTGTCTTGCATTCCTGCATAAAAAACTGTTATAATAAATTACAGACATTAATGAGTGAGCTGTCACTGTGATTGCCGCCAGTGTATCCTGCTTTTACTAGAAAGGTATGGGGTACCTGAAATCAAGGGCACTTGTGTATTAAATGTTAGGTTAGTTCCTTTCAACACTGTCTTGTTATAATTATGAGGAGGGATTGGTTACAATCTGTACTAAGACTAGGGAAATTATTGACTGTTCTTCACTTATATCCCTGTATTACAAATATAGGACAAATTATGTTAGGGTGCTTATTTATTATTTGAACCACTAATTTTGCTGGTGAAAACTGTGCTTTAAGATCCTTGGAATAATTAGACATCTCTGTGTGTTCAGAGAAACATTTTATTTTCTTTAGCCACTCAGTTTCAAGGATGATCTCAATGGGTCCTGAGATTGCTAAAAAGTCCAACCCAGAGCCATAAACTTGTTCATGTTGAAAATACAGTAAAGACAGAGGTACTCCAATCTGAACTGATGGTAAACGTTCACCCTCTTTCCACCATTTATACTGCTTTCCTACTAAAAGAACTACCGTTCTACCATTATAATCTGACATCAATGTCTGTAGTATAATTTTAAAGACCAATATCTGTTCAGAAATGCAAATATATTAGAGACTATGAGAATTACAGTGAAGACAAATTAATAGCATTCCCTCTTTCTATCTCTGTACATGGTGTTTACTAACAGTTTGAGTGTTTTCATTCATACACGTAACTGGAATTGCAATAGGCTGTGTCAGGCTTATTTCAGAAGCAGTCCTTTGAGAGCAATATGACTTTCACTACTTTGTAAGGGGTCATGACCTTGAGCAATCAAGTCTGAGATTAGTCACCTGCTTCAGTCTATTTAAGGTCATGGCTAATTTTATTCTCAGTGTAGACTATACCTCAGCTGAAGTGAATAAATAAAAAAGTTGACGATTTAATATTTAATGCTGATATCATATAGCAAATTGTGAACACCATATTCACAAATACACTGAATCAATAAATCATGAATGAAAAATGGCTTAACTTATTGTGTGACTGATGTCTAAATATAAATCACAGTGGTTGGTTGCAGTTCTTCTGTCTTAAAATATTCATTGACGTAATTAATACAAAAAGCTATAACATAACATGATAATTTGCTGCACTAAAATGAGTCAGAGCTTACAAATAGGGAACAGGGCATGAAAGGCTTTTGGAAGAGATGTAAAACCTGCAACCCTGTTTTATCTTTCAATAAATTGCACCCACTTCCTGAATCTACAGGTGGCAGTGTTTTAATAAATGTATAAACACTTTTCTTTTTTCAGCAACTTTAAAAAGAAAAGAAAATACCTACTCCAGTTCTCACACTAGCAAAAGGTAGGGTAGTATTTTAAAGTTAAAATACTAAGTACATACACAATACATAAAGGTGGAGGAAGAGGCAAAGAACTACACTTACATTAGCACAGTGTAAGGCCAAAGCACAAAAGACTGCAAACATTTTAAAGTTGTTCTCATCGGTTTTAGTGAAGGCACTTCCATTTAATTTGTTCACCATTTGTACGACCCCTATAACTGTCCCCCGGCTGACAATAGGCATGCATAGGATGTTCCGGGTAGTGTAGCCCGTGTAGAGGTCCACCTCTCTGCAAAAAGACAGAAAGACGGAAAAATCTCAGGTCTCCAGCAAGAGTTTTGATATCAGTTCATTCAATTTCCTGAAGCATTTACATTCTTAACTTAACGTCTTAGAACCAGACTTCATTCTCTGCTTTTCATACGTTATTGTAATACTTCAACAAGGCCGTTCAGTTATGGCCTTGCTAAGAATCTAAATCGTTTACATTGCTGCTCCCAAACATGCAACAGAAATAATGACTGATGAATTACAAAACCATACATTTTCACTTAAGGACAGTTTGGAATTTTCCCATTAAAACACATACCATATATCTAGAAACAAAACTGTCAAAAACCGTACTTGTGTGTACAGGACATCTTACCTGTTAAAGCGTGGGTCTGCATAGGCATCAGGAATATTGAGGACCTCTCCTGTTCGTGCCACTTGTCCTGCTATTCCTTTTTCTATAGAAAACCTAAACAAAAAGAATATTGAACCTTTTCATTCTCTTTTGGCAACAACTAATCTGTGCATTCCTGTACAGCAGCTGGCCCAGCCTTCAGGCATTACATACTGTATATTCTAAATAGGAATTCATATTGGTTACGTCAAATCAAGAATAATGTTTTTCTTTTTTTCTATTGTAACTTCAAATATCCAGTAAATAAATCGGATAAACAATCTGACTCCGCATGCACAATGCTGTTAATACACCTCAGACTGTATTCTCATTGTCTCAGTGTCTTGTCTTTTAGCATTCTTGAGTTAAGAAAGCAGCTACACCTGTCTGATTTGGCAATGCCAAGGTTTGATTTAGCTGACTGAAAAAGGAACATTCTGAAGGAGCTGAGTTTTAGAATTTACACTGTTGCTGCTGTGTAAAATATTTGTAAACCAGGTATGCCCTATAACATGTCATGTTTCAATATCCTTGCCCTAAACATGACATTTGTGCTTGCATAAGAGGCTGATTGGGGTTGCAGCTGATCTATAAAGTGCACTCAGATGTACTTGTTTTAGAGCTCATCACTGACATAAAAAACAAACTTATTTCATAACTAGAGAGAATTGCGCTGTGACTTCTTGCATCTTTACATAATCTTATTAACAAGACATACATTTTCTGGTAAGAGCATTTCTCTCTGGCCTCCACAGATGTGCTCTTGTACTGGGGAACAGATCCACAGTGAGGCAGCACTCACCTAATTTCTTTGGTTTTCCTAAAGACTGGTTTCCCTTCATTTTCTTCCCCGATGTCAAACAGGTCTGAGTACAGTTCCTTGTTGTTGTGGTCAACCTGAAAGAGCGCACAGCGGTCTGCATTCACCAGGTTTTTTGCATATATCTGAAAGACAGGGGAATGAAAAAAAAAAACAGATCTAACAGAGCATATATTATATACACACACAAATAAATAGAAATATCATTATGTAGTTCATGTAGGTAGCTGTGTCAGCATGCGTAGGCTGCAAAGGAACAAGTTAAAGGTTTATTCCATGCTGAAAAGAGAAGAAAGGAAACACAATGTTTTAGCTGTGGAGCCTTCTTCGGGTGTCACTTGAACTACTTTAGCCTATTTCTGCTACGACCCACTATGCCTTCCTCTAAATCTTTTTCTAGATCTCTTCTTCGCTCCTCCTCCTCCTCCCTGGTCCACTCCCCCCCCCCCTCTAACTAAACCAGCATTCCGTCTCTTCACAGCCGTCTGTTCCCAGACCAGGCTTTCTCACCACCTCCTATTCCTCTACGGATGTCGCCGATACAATATCATCCCGAAAGGATTTACCCAAAGAAGGCTCCACAGCCGAAACATTGTGTTTCCTTTCTTCTCTTTTCAGCATGGGATAAGCCTTTAACTTGTCTCTAAATATCATTATGCAAAGCAGGCTAAAATCAATATCTAAGAAAAATGACAAAAATTAAGCCATTTAACACCCACATTACTAGTGCAGCTACAACTAAAATTATAACAGTGGTGTTACTACAGTACAATTACTTAGAATATTAATTTTATCTTCACAATGTTAATGAATTGCACTTTAAAATGATTTAATTACAAAAACACTGCTGTTACTGGCATATTCCTGGTTTAAAAGAGGCAACTCAACTACTTTAAGTTATAAGACAATCATTCTCATAGCCATTGTTAACTGCTTAATTAATACATTGTAATATACGCCTTGAAGTATTGGTAATTGGACTAAAGTACATGTATTTTAATAGAATTCTGTGGAACTAACACAAAGTTGTTTTTTTAATTTAAAAAAATCACTTGTGTTGTGTACAAGTCCTTCAACGCACTGGTTGTTCAAAACCCCACAAGCAAATAGGTATGTGACATGCTCATTCTGCATCTATGTCATCACACAGCTATTCAAACTGCGTCTGTCTATTCTCTGGATGCCTAATTATTGTACTTTACATGGCTCCATTATCAAACCAAGCATCTACAGTTTATCTGGGCAGAGACAGGGACTGAAGCAATGAACTCAGAAGCATTTACGTAAGAAACAAAGCAACTGCTTGATTAATAGTCAGACTGCAACAATGCTAGCGTGCTTATCTGCCCCTTGGGACAAACCAATGCTGTTCACTTAAAGACTAAATAGGTTCATATCTGACTTCAATGTTTGTTTGTTTCCATAATCTTTCATGTTGCCTTCAGAGGGTGTTCTAATTGTTATTGACAGCGTCAGTGACCTGGCTTTCAGTAATTACGATTGACAGATCTCACCTTTAACCTGTTCCTTCATTTAAGAAGGAAATGTCCCATTATAGCTGAAGACACAAATAAGATGGAAAGACTTACACAGAGGTAAAAAAAGTGGGCCTGGGTATGTGTGAGACCACGGAAAATCTACAATCTGGTCTAAAACCACACCTGAAATGAGGCTGAAATAAGGTTTCTGATCGATAAATGATGCAATGCCACAGATCACATCAAATGAACCAGGGCCACTTTGTGAGGCCTGCTTAAAAGACACATAAAACTGCTAGGTATCCCCCCCTGTCTCTGACAGTTACACTGGAATAGAGCTCAGTATACATAAATTAGTATGGATTTTATTCTATTCCAGTCTGTTTAAAGGCACAAGTAATGATACTGGAGATGTGATACTGACTTCCTCGGTCATTAAGACTGGGATAGCACTTTGCACTGTACAAATTAATGACCATCTAAATGGCAGTGGCGCAACAAAATATTTAGCATATAATACACTTAGGACAAATGCCTTGTCTTTAGCGGTCAATGAATTATGTTAGTGTGCAGAGTTCCAAAATCTAATAGTGGTGCAGTTTCAGTGTATGTGCTGCACTTGCTCATTGCATACTGTAACATCACATAGGCTGACATGGGACTGGAAAGAATCTCAGGGCAAAAAGCCTGAAGGGCAAAATAATTCTAAAAAAATCTGTGATGATTTATAAGGTGCTGAGCACACGGTTTTAAGAGGATTTTTGTTTCTTCTTAGTTTCAAAATGAGTTCTCCACATCTGATATCAAAACAATGAGTAATATAGTGCCCTTAAAAAGTACGGGAAGAGCAAAATAAAATATTTTCTTTTGCTTTACAGTAAAGCCATTTTGCACTTTTTTGTATTTGTGATTAATATAAATGATAAGGAAAATAGGATTTATTTTTCTTTAATGCTTTTGACTGTAGTAGAACAAAAATAGTTTGTGTTCTACCCATGATTTCTATTTCATTTAATTTCAGTGTGTCAGTAAAATGCATTCTTAGTTGGATTTGGATCTGGAGACTGATTGGACAGCCTAAGATTTTCCACTTTTTACTGCTGATGAGCTATTCTGGGTCATTGTTATGCCACCTGGTGAAGTGCTGCCCAACAAATATGGAGGCATTTTCTTCTACGTAAGCAGACAGTGTTTCTGTTTTCTTCAGAATTAATTCTCCTGCTGCCATCATTAGTTACATCATCAATAAAGAGGAGCAAGCCAAAAAGACACTTTAAGAATTTTAAGAAAGATTAAAGCTCAATATCTTAACGTCAGAATGTTTAAATGGTTGCACCCGGGCTTTCTCCATCTCAATGTTTATATTTCTGTTGCACACACAATGCCCTACAGTTTTCCAATATGCAGAGTTTATTTACACTATGTTAAAAAGCTTATTTAAACCTGCCCACAGCTCTGCACATCTCAGCACTTAACAGTTTACAATAATCTTTTCAGCTGCTGAATAGGCCTTGCATATAGCACTCTCATTATACTTAAGATACGCAAAGTAAATACATTCAACTGCAACTTGTCACCTTCATAATTTCATAATTTCAGGTGCTCAAGGCTATATTATAATCTATTCTAGGAATACCATTTTTAACATGAAAGAATGTGTTAGGTTAAAATAGGTTATTAAAGAAATGTTTCAGAATAGAGATTTGAAGGTCTCGAAGTTGGCTTAAAAACATTCTAAAGGTAATTTATGCTTATTTAATAAAGAGCCAATTGGAGCAGAGTCCCATTCAGTATATACAGTGCAATGTCACAGCTATAAATAATGCCAGGACATCACAATCAATATTCCAATACTGAATAGGAATGATTTAGAATTACTGGAATGTGATATATTCACAAAAATGCTATCATTTTTGGTTTGCGAAAATTGCAATTGTAAAAGGCTTGGGAAATTTTTGATGGGTCTAAACCAGCACATCAGAAAGAAAGCACTTTACTACAATTTTTATACTGTTTATTACAATTTATGACAAACCAGAGTTTTTACATGACCCCTAAATGTATGATGCTACCACTATAAAAATGTGGATTTAACAGTTTTATGGGATACCAGTTGCAATCAAGAAATAAGGTGGATAGTCTGTAAAATATAAATGACTAATGATGTCTAGGAATATGCAAAATTTGAGTGTCAAATGTATGGAAATAAACAAAGCCATTACCAAAATTAATTACATTTTCACCCAGCTGCGCAATTCAAGGTATTTTGATTTCCTTTAATATTTTTAGACTACCTCAATTCCTTCAGAGGACTAAAACCGAACAGCTCTGTTGAAATACTCAGATTGCTGCGAGCACTGTCAGTAAAGGTAACGCATCTCACTGCTCAACAAAACCAAATCCTGCACTATCACTGGAAAGGAGTTTCCTTTGCCTGATACATTCAACTATCTTCCCCAATCTTCCAGTTGTTAAGCCTTTTCTTGGGTGTTAAAATGAAGTTAAAGTGGGACATCTGACACCTGATGTCCCACTTTAACAGCCAATTTTTTTTTCTACCTGTCAACATGAAATTAACCTTTGCATCCAAACGCAGCTATAACAAACATAAAAAAGTGGGTAAAACTATACATCAATAACTGATGATTCTGGGACCACCTTCCATAATATGAGTGATGTCCAGGCTCCACAGGCCACAGAATCCATGTACAGTACATGTACAGAATCCATTCACAGTATCCATTAATCCAGGAGAATTGTGAGAGATTCACCAGGATCTTTAAGGCGTCATATGAAACTAAAAAAAAGAGGTGGGGTCCTCCGGTCTTAAATGTCTTGTTGCAGCATAATTAAACATGTCCTCCCTGTTACCTAGGCTGCTTCCTGTGGCCTGTGTTTCTTCTGTTCAGCAGTCTGACAGTGGTCTGACAGTAATTCAATACTGGCCTTTAATGGCTGCCCTCTGTCAACTGCCTGCAGCCATACCGTCCCAATCCCAGCCGGTGATACAGCACAATTTCCATAGCATCACCTCGCTCAGTGCCAGTGCTCGTAAATCAGCCCGCGGACATGTCAGGGCTCACACTACAAAGCGCCTCACAGATAAACAACACGGTACAATTAATCAGGGCACAAGAGAGAGCCTCAAAATCCTCTGTACTGATATGGATTGATATGCGTTAAGAAATGTCAGGGCATGCCAACCAACTCACAACTGTGCTGATGGGCAAATCTTGGTGTGCAGTTCAGGAGAACCCCAGAGAACCTAATTGCAACATGTGATGTTTTACATCAGACTTACCATTATATGTTCAAGTAGAGAATCTATTGCCACAATGTTATCAAAGTATGTTCTACAAAAGAAAAACAGAAAGTGCGATTAAGTCAGACAAGTATCAGACTGCAGGTGTACCAAGAAAAATATGCTTACGGTGAATACTTAGCTGTAGGTTTAAATAATGCTGTACGTGTGTCTTTGGGTGGTTTTGTATGTAAATTTCTTCTGTCTTTTGAGTATAGGTTAAAAGTGTGAATTCAAACACAAATGAGAGCTTTTACGACTCTCCAGCAAGAAGCTGAACAGGCCCTTACTTTGAGACATCAAGTAGAAAGTCATTCAACTCCGTCTGTTTGGCAAGACCTCTGCACACCTACAGGATGGGAGGAAATCAAGAGAAGAGTGAAACAGAAGGCAGAACTGGGTACATGCTGTACACTTACACAGATCGCCATCTTCCCTGAGTTTTAACCACACTCTAACTCCAGATACTGTCAAGATACTACCAACTTTTATTTTTAACACTCACAGAGAAGGAGGAGAAAAAGAAATAAAAGTAACTTCTGGCAAAGCTTTCTATGTGTAGGAGATTCTTCCTCTTACAAACTACCTGCAGCTAACAGTTCAGTTTGAATGCATTTAGCCTTTCAATGGAGATCCATTATAAACACATGGTTATTACACAGGATTTCCCTGAAGAGGGGAAACTTTTTCTTGATCTCAAGAGCCACATCATCCCCTTGTTTATCACAAGGAACCCTTTGCATTGTTGTGAGCCAGATATGGGTAACGTTCCACTCAGGCATTAAACAGCTGTTCTTAAATAAAAGCACCAAACGTAACTTCAAAACAAATTTTGCTTCCACATCATTCACAAACTTGGCATTCTTCTGCGGATTTTCTCTCTGAACCTCAGATAAGAAAGATGTGACAGTGTGTGTGTGAGCTGAACTGTTATGTAATTCTGTCTGTAGCAACTGTCCCCCCCCCCCAAACAATTCTGTAGTAATTATGCCTCAAGGGACAGTAGTGTTTTATGTAATTGCTCATGAACAGAGTACACCATGTTTCACAAAAGCTGCAGGTACACTATGGATTTCACCTCAATGAGCAGCACAAAAACAAGTGAAGTTGTGAGATACCCAGATTTCTCTTATGGACTCCTTTTCAGGCTAGCCATAACTGGCCTTTTGTGCAACACATTCAGTCCAATGAGTACAAATTCTTCTGTAATTGAAAACAGCTTTAAGTTGCAGTTTAACCACTACTTGAACCATTGAGTCATACAACCGGGATTAACATTTTTTACCAGTAATAAATCAATAACATTTCAACAAATATATGAAGAAACCACTTTCAATTATTTTAAAACAGTTACCTGGACCTGGTGAATTGCCACTGAAGCCCAAGCTAAATTTGCTGTTGCAACCTGAAAGGGCAAAAAATATTTTTCTATTATAATATTTTATTACAAATTTACATTTATACATTTTTCACTGCACTATATTACAAGATTGTATATATGCATCTTCAAACTGAATAGACTAGTATCAAATGACAACAAAAGTCTTGAAATTGCTTTAGTTCAATAACTGGCCTAATTAAAACTTCATTTTAATAGATAAGCTAACCACCATTTTATTTTAGTATAGATGTTGTCAATCTTTTCTCATATGAGACACATTTACAGTATATTTTCCACATTTTTATTAATCAATTAAAAGAGTAATTTTAAAGTAGTAGGATATAATTTTGAATGTTCTTTCTTCACAATTTTGCTACATACAGTACCACCTTATTAAGGGTAGCAAAAACATGAAGGAAACAATAGCACATACAAGTCAATTATCTTAATGGGGAGAAAGGGATAGAAATAGGATATAAAAAGAAAACGAAGAGATCTGTTAAGCCTGATACTAAGGAAACCATGCACAATGTCTGTGCTAGCTGCTTTGAAAAAAGTCACTGTGACAAGGGTCAAATTGAAGTCTATTGACAGCCAGGGAGCTGTCCTGGCAATACGTGCATCATGAGATGCACACAGAACAGCTTACAAGCCAATAGTCCTCTCTCGGACTCCCAGAAAAAAACAAAACAGCCTCATGCTGGGATTTCCATCTCTACTCCTCTGCTGTTACATAACAATGGTGTGTTTTGGTGTGAAGTCTCCCCCTCCCTGTCAGCTCCAATTCGATAAATAATAATTCAGTCAAAAAAGCCACCACCCATACATAGTGGGCGTGATGGGAAAATATTTAATGCCAGAGGATAATCTGAGATGTTTTAAAACGTGGGCCAGAAAAATGCAGCACGAAACCACTAATGTGAACTGCAAACCCTTCAAGCTTTTTTTTTGGCTTTTGCAGAATGGATAATCCACATATTACAGCATACTTAAAAACCAAGCGCCAGTTTCAGATCCATTCAGGTGAGGTTGTTACTTTCCTGAAACAATTATACTTCCAAATCGATGGCTTTTTTTCTAGGTTTTTAGTCCCCTACACACTGTCCTTGAAAGTCAGAGGTTCCTCAAACATTCTGAGTTCCAAGTGGTCAAAAAGTACACCACTTCAAAAGAGAAGCGAGTGGACAACAATTCTTGTATTTCCTAGAATCTAAGTCTCAGAGAGTTTGAAGGAGCCCTGAACTGCTTGTGCACCTGGGCCTTTATTCACAATGCACCTCACCTCCTGGTGACTAAGGTTGAACGGTTCCTTTCCCCAGTTGCGATGCAGCTCCAGGATGCCGATAAGATCACCGATGGCAGTGAGGATTGGCAAACACAGGACGGAGTGAATGTGAGTCCCTGAGTCCAGTCCTGTGCCTTTGGGAAACCGCTCGTCCTGCGGAGACATGTCCCAGCTTTCTTCAGAGAGCGTGCTTAGGAAGAATAGCTATGGAAGACGGGTCTTCCCTAGAGGTCTCTGAATTTAGTGCTGTGAAGAGTCCGTTTAAGAACACTGATAACCAGGAAATCATCATCATCTAATGACGTATTGCGATTTTTGTAATACCTGCTAGTGCTATGCATTAACATTCATGAAGTTCTGTTCCGCAGCATATCTGTAACTACTGTATGTCATTATTATTATTAGAGAATTTATCTAAAACCTTCCAGATACACTTTTAATATATTATCAGCAAAAATGTCAGACTTAGAATTCCCCCCCCCCATTTCTAAACTAAGTACCCAAGACTAGAGAGAAGAAATAAACGTGCCTAGCAGTGATTAACCCACTTGATTAAACAATAGTATCAAAGGCAACTAAAATGCATTTGGTTTTCAGTGCAAAAAACCAAAACAAATCTTGAATAAAATCTTTCAAGGAAGTCATGCTGACCTTCTGACTGATGATTAACATTTTGGACCCGTTAATCATTGCATGACCTTAACAGCTCAAAGGAAGTCAAGTAGGTTGTTAGGATCTGAGGCAGAATGGGCCAGCAAAGTTCTCACCCCGAGGATGTCTTCCACCAACAGTGTTTTCCTGGTCTTGGCTACATATGCTGCGATTGTGGTGCCGTAAGCAATAGGTCCAGAGGGTATCAGCTGAGGCAGCCCTTCCCTTGCACCCGTAGGGGTGAACAAGCACAGACTCTGATGGAAAAGAAGACAAACAGCTTTTCAAGCCCAGTAGTGAGCATCTTTAAGCCCCACAAGCTATCCTGCGTTTCTTTTTATCTTTCCTCTTTGACTCAATACAGCCAAAGAAGAAGAGCAGACGGTGCTTAAGACCACTTTTTTATTTTTTCTGGTGAAAGGAATTTAATAGGTACTGTATATAAAAGCAATTTGACCTGTTCCTAATATAATCTGTTTTGGACACACAGTGGTAAAGGTATCTACAGGTATTTACAAACTCATTATCCTCAGCATTCCTATACTGTATGTTCCTTAGTATGACTGGTACCATCTCCAGAGTAAATAGTACATTTAATATGAAATGGATATCAATTTGTTTCAGTATTTTTTTAATGTAACAGTTCTTCATGGGGTATTTAAAATTACCAATGAGCACTCTTTAACAAACGCTAACAAAATGGGCGATTTGATTTAGCCTGTTGAAAATGAAGAATAACCAAATAATAATAAATGACATAGAAACATTGGGTACATTTTAAGTATCCTACAAACTACCACTAAAGGACCGAAACAAGACAACTAAAAAAAGACAGCATAACTCTCAATACTTACATTGTTACATTCTCCCAGAAAGTAAAGTGCAAATCCATCAGCTTTAGTAGCTGTAAAGATACCATACAATTATCAAAACAAATGTCACAACGGGAAAGTCTTTAATCAGATGTTAGCTATTCAAACCATTCCGAGAAATAAACCGTATGTCTTGCTTCTAAATAATTAAATGATGTTTTGGGAATTTTTGTCCTCTAAGCCCCTGAAACCGCCAAAGCCAAGAATTAGTCTGAGGAGAGAGGCTGAGGGGGAAATTACCAAATACACGACACCAGTTTCCAGAGCCTGCAAGGTTTTCTTCTTCACCACTGTTCTCCAGCACAGTACAGTAGCTGACTCTGAGTGGTACTCTGCCCCTAGAGCAGCAAAGATGAAGTGCAAAGCAGCAAGATGCCTGGATACTGTATATAAAAAGAGATCCTCAGCCATCAAGCAACCCCTACTTTTAAAATTCCTGGACAGCACCAATGAACAAGCACAATCTACAGAGTGGCAGATTAGGCGATATGCAACAAACAACCTAAGAAAAGTCCTGTCGATTTTTTTTAATCACCTTTTTTCTTTATAGTTATTTCAGTTGCTTATGAACTATGCATATTATAATCTGTTTTTTCCTTCAGAAAAAAAAAACAGTTTTCAGATCATTCAAAACAGAAGAGTCATGATATATTCTGTTGCAGTTGCAGAAGGTTTAATTATTTATTTTTTCTGTGTAATGTGATTTCTGGAAAGAACAGCAAGACAATAACTACCTGCTGGGTGAATGTGAGCTATATACATGTAAACTATATGCATTTCATAAAATAATTCAGTGATATGGCCCCATAACCTTATCTATGAAGATATGCATTTGAAAGGTGTATCCCAAAATTGAAGGACAATCAGCACAACTGCAGTATAAGCTCCACTGTGCTTAAACTATTAAAAATGATTAAGCTTCAGAAAAGAACCAAAGCACACCATGGTTCAAAAACCTGACAATAATTTGAATATAGAGTAGTCATCTGTGACCAATAAAGAATGAGTCTGTTTCTCAGAGGAATTCAGTCTGCTTATCCAGAGAAATAACAAAAGACTGAAATGAGTAATCAGGAAACAATGTTTGATTATTCTTTACTGGATATTTATAATTCAAAACTAAAAATACAGGGATTTTCAAAGGTTTTGCTATTTTATAAAATTTGCTTAACCTAACTCTAAAAACATTGAAAGTTCAAGCTAGATGTGACGGGGGTATGAAAAACACAAAAGGACACTGGCTTACAATTAAAACTTTGTTTAAAACCCTACTGCTTGCTATGATGTTGTATAGGACCCAGAAAACGAACTCTGCGATGGCTTTATCTAGAAAGAGGAAAGACGGGGCCAATTTTGCGGTGAAGCACAAAGGTATTCTGTGGCCTCAACCCAAACTTTTACATCACTTATCCAGCCTCCGGCCTCCAGTCTTAACAAACACTAATATTTTAGTATCTTTTTTTATGTGTTTATGTTTTTCTGTGATACATGTTTTAATATCACAATGGACTGTATATACAGGATGATACCACATAGAATAGCCAAATATTACTTTACTTCACTGTAAACACCATGACAACAGAGTCAGATATTATAAGCAAACATTTACAGTAATATTTTTAACACACTTTTAAAGACTCACTTTTCAGTCACTTTCACACATAAGAATAATAGTCACACAAGAATAATAAAGGCTTTATGTCTTACTTTTTATATAAATAAATATCTATTTAACTTTACATATTTCTGCAATTAACATAATGTCTAGTATAAATACACAGCAAGACCTTTAAGGACTCAGATTTGCTAAGCTGGTACCTGACCTCACTGATGTCACTGTGCAAAAAACAAATATTGATGTTTCTCTGAATTTCAGTTGGTGGCACCTACTGTATCCTGATTTCACAGCTACAGCTGTCACATTGACGAGCAAATATATTGAATGCAACCTTCACTTAGCCAAAAAAGGTCAATGGAGAACAAATTATTTATAATTATTTAGTGGTTGCATATACCAGAATTAAACATGAATTATGTATGCAATATTTTATATAATGTTCACAAATTTCCTTAATAAAAGCTTTATTATTGCTAAAGTCTGGTGTTAAGATGAGATCCTCTGCTGCCCACCTGTTTTAATGATGTTACACAACTCGTAGAGCAGTAGTTTGTTATCTCCCCCCGTGTCCAGTCGCTGCTCCATGTAGCTGTTCAGTTCGTACACAACGCCTTGCATATTTGTGTCCTGGTACTGCTAAGCATAAAAAGAATACACCATTGCAGCCCTGTTCATAACTCACTTTCAGGTGATTTTTGATTAAAAACAGCTGTACAGTTACTGTATAAAAATAAATACAAAAAAGAACAATCTTTAAGTAGGAAACAAGAATAAAAATCAACAGCAGCAAAAACTTCGCTTACACAAAATCCTGAAGGGAATGCTCTTGCCATTACTTGTGCATGTCAGTGTTTTTTTAAATAATTGATTTCCCTAGTCAATCACGCCTGTGCCCTACTGAATATTTCATCATGTTAAATTAGAAAAAATGTTACCCAGTTCACATCCTGATTTGCCTCTGTTTGGACACCCTCCCAAAAACACGTCAAGCCCCATTTCTGGCATTTTGACCATTTGTTCATCATTCAATATATCTATTCAATATTATAACCTTCCCTCTCATCTGTTAGACAAGACTGAAAAATTAAAACACCCTCCCAAAAGTCCTCTATAGTGAAGAATTACTACTCCATTATTTCCTCATTAAACTGTCACATAATCTGGTTTACATACTATTGTTTTATAGACGGTCACTTCTATCAGACCAACTACAATTATTATTTATATGCTTTTGCTCTTAGGTGCAGGGTCTTAATGAGAAGGAAGGTAACTGAGAATTCCATTCGGAACTACCCAGGGATACTTCTGTCCACATCCTGTTTTTTGTGGTCCTGGCTCAGATGACTGCAGTATGACGCACTGAAGAAACCTTGTTATTCCCCTGTGACAGCCACACAGCAAGGGTGACCAAGCTGTCACCCTCAGGTTCAAGCCTCTTGGATGACAGATCAAAATGAGTACAGTTTACTTCTTTTTCAGGATATGTCGTGACTTACAGTTTGGATGACTTTGTATTTATTTCAGAGGGAAAAAAAAGAGAGACCGTTCATTGAGCTATATTGTGATTAATGAAGCTCCTCTTTAAAGATCAAGGGGTTAAACGAAAAACATCACAGGTGCCAATCACGAGAAAAAGAAAGATCTACAGTTAATTTGTAAAGACAATCCATCTTTAAGCAAGAAGCTTTTTATAAGTTATCCAGTTTTAAACCACTCATAGGACCACAACCCATATCTTGAGGGTGTTCCCAGCTTGTTCACATTGATTTCGATCATGTTTGCACCAACCAGGAAGCTGCTCATCTTCATGGGGGTTGTTAACAATATTGCTCTCTCAACCTTAGCGGGATGCAAGTCCATCTCTGAGCCATGGAAAAAGGGACATTTTAGAACCACCAGACAAGCTTAGCCAACAACCCACATGAAAAGAAAAGCTAAGAGCATGCAGAGTCCATTCAAACAGACACCCAGAGCAAGAACTGCACCCAAGAATGCTGAAGTTGCGAGGGTGGTAACGCTAAGCGTATTGCCACCATTGAACTCCAAGGTGGAATCGAGATGAAAAATATTAACAAGCTTTTTAAAGTTCTGAATGAGAGTGAGAGGGGGGCTTTGATTCCTCATGTCCCCTGTATTTACAGTTTGTGGAAGAGCTTCAGGCTCAAAAACCCACAACACCTAGATCAGAGATCACAACCTGCAATCAGACAAAACACCTGTACAGGTTGAGTCACTCTGGAACCCCGGACATAGGAAGACGGATTCTGAAAGGTCAAAGGTAACTACCACTAGATATAATCCTCTGTGTGCCAGGGGACTTCTCTCACAGATAAGGGCTCACAGCTACCAAATCTGGGGAAGAGACATATGTATCTATTTCCACTGAGCCTCAGCCCCTCTGCTTCATGAGGCCAGAAAGGATGTCACACTTACCCTGCTGACTTCCTTAACTGTGGAGTCATCTGTGAGGAAACAAAGCAAACAATTACACACTCAGGGACAGTTCGCCCAACGGCGGGAACAAGGGGCTTTCCTGAGGGACTTAGGCAGGGCCTTCTGAGTAGCTCTTGATCACTCTAGGACGTAAATGCGATAACAGTAAAGTAAAATGAGTGTAAATTGTCACAAGAACACTGTGGCTGCACAGATGACATCTTTGAAAGAAAAATAATAACACTAATGAAAATAATAAAAGTCTGTGGGAGTCAGACCTGCCTTGATTGTGACCTGCCGGATTGTTGCAGCTAATGACCGTTGTGCATGTGTCTCCAGTTTAAAAGCAATACTTTGTTCCAAATGATCCTTGTAAAAATCCCCTAAATATGAGCCACATAAAACCACTGAATTGTTAAAACATTATGTAAATGATCATGTATGTGTACAATATTACAAGATACATGTGTACAAATAAGTGAATAATAAGGTATCATATCAGTATTTTAGTTATGTGAGGTTATCAAAACTTTTTTAACAGTTTCTCATACCACAGATGTCATGTGTCATGAAACATAGATTTCTTATCGGTAACAGAAGCTAGACAGCACTTTCATTTTTAGACACCTCAACTTTGTTTACAACACACAAGTTAATGGGCATAAATTCTGAACTACAGTAACGCAGGATAAAACGGGCTTAATTTTTTATACAGTTATTAGTTTATACAGGGGTCCAACAGTAGAACCCCACCCGGAATTCGAACCCATAACCCTCCAGTGCTAGAGCCCTAACCACTCCACACTGTTGAAACACGATGTGACTGACATATACAAAGGTGCACTGCATCTCCAAAATAGTATTTCGAAGACTATTACAGTAACCTGAATGAATAGTATTTTGTAAACATGTGATTACATCTCTTACAGGAACTGCAGTTACTGTGAAATGCACATTACATAACTAGTACATTTTGTGTTCTTATGCAAAAGAAAATCCTTCCATACTTATTTGGACAGCATTTCACCATGTGGCCAATGCATCAGGAGAATAAATGGGAAAATATGACAGTGTCCATGTCAGTCTCCATGGATTTAAATCCAAATAAGCACACATTTTGCATACAGAATAAATGATCCAACAATTTTTTAATGATGTCAATAGGTTGCAGTCTTCATGCTGACACTGCTTCAGAGGGACATGCAAACAAATGACAGGTTTTACATACTTAAAGTGAATGTTTCCCATTCCTTATTCTTGTTCACATATGTCCAAATGTATATTATTTCTGTGTCATTTCTGTGTAACTCCATGTGTATTATATTGTATTTATCATTAATTAATTACTAATCACTAACCACATGATCAAAAATACAAATTGCTTGACTGTAAAGCAAAAATAGCATTTAAACAACTTATTACTGATTAGAAAACAGGTTTTGCAATCATTAAATATATGTATAAATGAAAAACATACAAATTTATGTTTTACTCCTCCCATCTAGAATTGACAACTCGGCACCCCACTACCACACTCATATGCTCAACAGGATAAAAGACAGCCCATCAATAACCTTAACCTAGCACAACCATTCACGGCTTTCTCCCTGGGAATCCTGCAGGACAGTGGCATTAATCCAGGACCTTTCTGGATCTTAGAGTGCACAGAAAGCTCCTGGGATCCAGGCAGTTCACAGGGTGCTCACTCCAACCTGTCTAATGTAAACCACTACTAGGCCTGAACTAGTGGCATCTGGGCTATAGGGTTCAGCCTCTGAATGACTGGGTAGCCCCCACATTACACCTTCTGAAAAATACCTTTTGAGAAATATTAATACCCTCATCGTTTCCTTTTTTAAATTGTATAATGTTAGCATGCCCAAAGGGGTTGGGCAGCCAGTTGACCTTGGACCCCTAGAGGTGTTTTTCTTCCTTACTAAGGAGTTTTTGGTTCCTCTCCTCTGTTGTCTTCTGGTCTTCTGTTCTGTATTGACAAAATGTATCATCAATTGCATTGTTAAGCGCCTTGGGGCAACCTTGTTGTGAAGGGAGCTATATACAAATAAATTGAATTTAATTGAAATACAATGTGGTAGAAAAGCGTATTTACTGTCCTAATTTTGTGAGAGCAGCAGTTACAATAGGCATTGAATGAAAACCCAGTAAAAAAAAATAACTCAAGCAAAAAAATAAAAATGCAAGGCTTCTCCCGAAATATAAATATACAATATGTACTAGACCATGTGAAATGAAAGTAGTATTCCAGCATTTGTTTATTTTACACATTCTTTCGGGGTGCATGGTGAATTTCCAAACTTAGCCGAAGGAGCTATTTTGAAGCAGACCCTCACTGCCAAGTTAACACAATGACGTCAGCAGAAGTCAAAGATAGGAATGTCTATGATCCACAGAGGTATTACAGCATGCTAAAAACATTAGCACAGAAAAAGAAAAAAAGAGGAAGCTGCAATTACCCTTACAAATAAACAACTGAAAGCACTTGTCTTCAGGGGCAATTGATCACAACCGGTCACTCGGACATGCTTTAGTAATGTTTTCTGTTGCACATCTTAAGAGCCTTGTGGTTCAAAAGGTCCCTGCTCAAGATCATAATTGGAAAAGCATCTCATAAGTCATCTGAAATACTGGTCTTAGAACATGTCTAACAATATCAAGCTGTCCCATCCTTTTTCTAACCTCTTATCCAGTAATGGGCCGCGGGGGAGCTGGAGCCTATCACAGCATGCCATGGGCACGAAGCAGGATACACCCTGGATGGGACGCCAGTCTACTGTGGGGCAGACAGATACAAACACAGACGCACACACTCACTCCAGGGCCATTTGTTTCCAGAATCCAATTATGCCTACCAGTACGTCTTTGGACCGTGGGAGGAAAACCGAGAACCTGAAGAAAACCCAGACAAACTCCAAGCAGACAGCACTCCAGAAATTGGACCCAGGGCCCCAGCGTGGCAAGAGAGCAATGCTAACTAACCACTGCACCACCATGGGGCTTGTTCTCCATGCTTGTTAAAGCAAAATGACAAACTTATCATAAAGAATGGAAAACCAGATAACATGTTCCTAGAATACATACTGCCAACTGATGAAAACAAACAAGACTTCTTTATGGTATAATATAATATACCTCTTAGCCATTAACCTGAAAGTCACCTGTGTCACATATATGGCAAGGATACAGTATATTCACAACCCACAAGACAGGAATGGAATCCAAACACTAGGATTACAGTTAGTATTGTTACAATTAATAAAGTGGAGTAACAAAAAGGTATTTAGGTCGTGCATATACAGTAAATACAAAGGGATAATAAACATTGAACAGCCTAGAAAGACAAAATCAATGGATCATCTAAGACTATTTCCAGACCGAACCCAGTACTGTATCTGTATCATTAATTATTTCAGGGTTTCTCATTCCTTTTGCTCAGTATTACCATCACTAAGTTTAATTTACCATTCCCATTCCATTAGGGGGTTCAACAGATAAACATTTTTACCACTGTGGTTGCACTTCCAATATTAACCCATAACTGTTACAGTAAATGGCTTATGCATGAATACATCACAAACAATGCATCGCCCCCTAAAAAGACATTAAATATATCCCAAATGGAAATGAATAATAGGGTGATAAAACAAAGTATTAATAAACTTTTATACCACTCATAATATGCAACATCATGCTTTAGAATATTGAAGTATGTCAACAACTGTAGTAAAAGATGAGATACAGAAACTTTACTTGCATCACTATAAAGATCAAAAAGGGCTTCTGGCAGCACATTCAATCAATTGAGTCCAAGGCACATCACATTAAAAATACATGATGCTGAATCAATATCGCCTGAACATGAGTGACTCAGCAATATAAGTGAGGATTCTTGTGCTCAAGGGTCCTTCAGCCACAGATACTACTAATGACTAAAGAATTCTCCACCCCTGGCCACGTGACCCTCAAGGTGGAACAAGAAGTATCACAGCCTCTGATCATGTGATGTAACAGCTTTCTGCCGCAGCCTGCAGGTAAGAAGTTGTCTTTTATCACTGAAGTATATGTGATCACTTACACAACAACATCTTTGTGTAGCCATGGCCAACTTCCAAATTCACTGATAAACAGCATCAGCTGCTTTATAGCAAACCAAGATCAGAGCTGCTTTTACACAAAGGGGTTTAAAAAAGAAGAAAGCAAGCACTCAGCCCCCCTTTCTCAGGAAATATGGTAAAAGAAGCTGCAGGCCACCATTTTAGAGAACATTTTAAATAATGACAAGATTAGTCACAGGAAGAGAAAAACTTACATTGTAGGAACACTGTGTGGAAACCAGAATTTAATTACATTAAATAAGTCCACTTCTGCATAAAATATGGAGAAATATTGTTCCATTATTCTTTACAACTTGGAAATTAAAACAAGGTTTTACAACAGTAAAAAGTAATACAGTAAAAAGCAAGATATACTGATGCACTAAGAGAGCACTGGGTACCTACAGTACATAATTTCACTTGTAATTTAAATAGCAAAGTAATGTCTTGACTTTTTGTGTAGCACTGGTCTTTAAAATACTAGAATACTGAGTTCAAGTTATATGATTTAACAAAAAATCTAATTGTACAATGTTCACCATTTCATTTGAGTTCAAATTAACAATAGTTGATCAAGAATATGTATAAAGAGCCACTTAAGACTGTGTGATTTTAATTAAGTCAAGAACAGCAGCATAACTTGAGTAATGAAGATCACCTGTTGCTATAGGTTCAATTAAAAGCACAGTCTACAAGAGAAGTTGCTCATAGAATGAGATGTTATTCTACAATTAGCAGAGCACAGTGGCTACGGTAAGTAATGTCAGGAAGAAATAATATGTGCATCAGGAGAATGACTATGGCTCTACATGAGTAGGACAATTACCTGAATACTCAATGACCATTGAAGGGTAATATATTGAATAATAAGAAGTATACGTATATACTTCTCAATAATGATATCATCTTCTGTAAAT